CTAATTAAAAAGAAAAATGATTACGGTAAAATGTCCGAGAAGTCAATATCTACTTGTGTCCGACACGAAAACGCTACCACAATTGAAGCGTTTGTGCTACATAGCATAATACCAACACCAGAAAATAATCTCTCAGGTAGAGTTGATTCACTCGTTGAAATTTTCCCTTCTTTGTCCTGTTTTTTCCATAGAGCTGCAGGGCCGGGAGTATTTGAGTAGTAGAATGTATGTGTGATCTGACGCAGAGTTTACTTGCCTAATTAACAAAGTATGAAGCACCTAGCTTAGGGATGTTATTTCTTTGCCAAATCAAAAGCTGGGGAGGAAAATATTCCTCCCTTCTCTGTGAAATCTACCACATATTCAAATACACAACCATGTTGCTTGCAGCCTCCAAATGAATTTTTGTTTGGCTTTTAAGTCGAGTTAGCAATGTTATTGGGTTATATCTCATAATGATCGTTTCAAATTATAAGTTGAAAAATATTTTGTTTAGTCAGTTTTAGTATGAATCGATGTCTTCTCTAAACCTGTATTGACTTTGTTAAACAAAAAAAGTCCAATAAAGAAGTTTATTTTAAAATAGAGAAGTATTTTGCAGGTAGTAATCGGTTTATCATTGTAATATGAACTACGAATCGACCAAACATAATAAATAATTTGACTAACGATGTCAATGCTTTTATCTTTTATATGGCGCGGATTCAATTGTGTTTCTTCTTATTAATGGACAACCAGGTTTTAGCAAGCAAAACCAAGATATACATGGTCCTTGAATACGTGAATGGTGGAGAATTGTTTGATCGGATTGTAAGTAACTTTTGCAATTGAAACATATACGAAGCAGTCGAACATACCTGCATGAAGAATGATCTCGAATTTGAATTTTGAAGTTTAATGTTGCTTAATGGTAATGGTTTGCAGTCATCTAAGGGAAAACTCTCGGAGGCTGAAGGCAGGAAGTTCTTCCAGCAGTTAGTTGATGGTGTTAGTTACTGCCACAATAGAGGCGTTTTTCATAGAGATCTCAAGGTAATAAAATATTTTAAAATACGTGTTTACCTATTTTAAAATATAAAACATAGGAGAGAGGGGACAACTGGGCAGATATTTAAGTATCTTGGCATTGTACATACTTTCACATAAAACTTTCATTTTTCGTTGCCTGACTTATTTTCTTCTGAAATGCAGCTGGAGAATGTTCTAATTGATGCTAATGGAAACATAAAGATAACAGATTTTGGCCTCAGTGCATTACCACAACATTTTAGGGTATAATGGCAAAAAATCCAACTCTTCTTACATAATTCTTCTCCAATCACTTAATTATTTCTGTCAAAATGTAGGATGATGGATTGCTGCATACAACTTGTGGAAGTCCAAACTACGTTGCACCTGAAATTCTTTCTAACAGGGGATACAACGGTGCCACCTCAGATACCTGGTCATGTGGTGTTATCTTATATGTAATTCTGACGGGGTACCTACCTTTTGATGATCGAAATCTGGCAGTACTCTATCAGAAGGTAGTTCCTTATATTCGTGGCATGGTGAATTTCTTTTTCTTTACTTATGAGGAGTCTTTAATATGTAAATCTTCTATTTGCATATCAGATTTTTAAGGGGGATGCTCAGATACCCAAATGGCTGTCCCCAGGAGCTCGGAACCTAATAAAGAGGATTTTGGATCCCAATCCTTGTACTCGGATGACAATGGCTCAGATAAAAGAAAGTGACTGGTTCAAACAAGATTATGTTCCTGTACAACCCATTGAAGAAGATGAAGAAGAAAATGCATACTCGGATGATGAAGTATCATCAATTCACGAGCCAGTAAGAACTTACCTTTCACTACTATCCTTCACTCGCTTTAAGTCTTTAATTTTGTATTAAATTGATAAGTTCTATCTATTACTAGCCATCAGACGCAGAGAAAGATCCAGAATCACCCACCCTCATCAATGCCTTTCAGCTGATTGGAATGTCTTCGTGTCTAGATCTATCTGGCTTCTTTGAGAAAGAGGTAGGAGTGTATTTACAAAAATCAAAATGATTACATATATCTTTGAATAAGATATACATTAACACAGAAATGACAAAATGGAATTCGTAAATTAAAAATGACCGTGTTTACTTCAGGATGTTTCTGAGAGGAAAATAAGATTCACATCGAATCATTCCCAACTAGAATTACTTGAGAAGATAGAAGATTCAGTAACTCAAATGGGATTTCAAGTCCAAAAGAAAAACGGAAAGGTTAGGATTATCTCCACCAACTTTTTCCCTCAGAAAATCTGATATTGTAAAAATTGAATGCCAACAATTTTATCAGTAGTGCGGTGGAAATTGAGGATCTCCATTTGTGATAGTAATTTCTAGGAGATGTTTTCCTGTAGATTTTGCTAATTATATAGAGTTGTTGTCAATTCTTATAGTTGAAAGTAATCCAAGAGCACAAAGGACAGGAAAGCCCTGGTAGTATGTCTATAGCAGCAGAGGTAAGTATTATTCGTAGTGATGATGCTGTAGCACGACATTATTGCTCTAAATTTCATTTTATAACAATAATTTTCTTCTTATGGCAGGTATTCGAGATAAACCCATCTTTGCATGTAGTTGAGTTACGAAAATCGTATGGTGATCCTATATCATACAGACAGGTAGTCCTCGATTAGTCATCTCTATTCCAACTTTTGACGGCCTATATAATTTTATGACGGTTTGGGGTATCTGGTGGTTTATGCAGCTCTGCGAAAAGCTATCTAGTGATTTGGGTGTACCACAAAGCCAGGAGCTTCTAGCCACAGATCTATGACAACTGTATATATAAATCAGTTTATGCAATTCTCTATGATAAAATGTCTAGGAAAATTCATCATTCGAAGTACAAGACTGCATTTATGCTTTTTTTCTGTCCAATGGTTTGAATAACTTAGTCGTTTCCCCCTTATTGAGCTGCCCGGCCGAGAAACCAGAATTCCGGGAGCATGTTAGGGCGGTAAACATCAGTTGATGGAAGCGTTGGATAGAAATAGACATTTGGTTTGTAAAAGTCGATCAACATATTATTTAAATGAGCTTTTCAGCTTAAATTAGATTCAGTTTATTAGCTGATTTCTGTTATACATGCAATCTTGTATATATGTATAATAAGAAAGATTTTGAAATGCTGCATTTATTTTCTTCTATACACCGGAGTTGTACTCAATAAAGAAGTTTACTTTATACACGATTACGAGAATCGACACTTAACTATATTACCTAAAAAAGTTTTCTTGTATGCACCTTCCTTCGGTGTTTTTATCATAACTTTGTATTCCGATATCCGATTGAGGCAATTCAAAATGCGTTGGAAATATAACTCATTTGGTTACAACTTTGGTTCGGACATCATTCTCCAATTCGACCACTTTATATGCCAAAAATAGGTCTCAATATAACGGACTATGTAACGGAATTTCTTGTTTTAAACAGGCAGCTGCACCTTCATTCAGTGTTTTTATCATAACTTTGTATTACGATATCCTATTGAGGCGATACAAAATGCGTTGCAAAGCTAACTCATCTGGCTACAACTTTAATTCAGACATCATTCTCCAATTCGATCACTCCATATGCCAAAAATAGGTCTCAATATGAGACTAAAACACCGGAGCATAACTTTTCGGTTGGAAATTGATTTGTGATCATCTTTTGACTAAATTTGATCCCCTTGACATCTTCCTTTATCCAATTGACTCCAAGCACTCTCAAATCTTCATCGTGAGATTCAGCACAACTTTTAAGTATTTATATTTTAGCCCCCGAAATTTGGATCCCTTACAATTTAGCAATTTCTCCAAATTTGTCTACTTTTGCTTATTTTCTTGAATCTCACCAACCTACATCACAATATCAAAATCACACATCTAATTATTTATCAATTATATAAACATTACATAATTTATTATTTATAGGGTGTCTATTTCTGCTTTTCAGCAGAAATCGCGCCGTTGGCAACACAATTCATGCCGTTGGGAGCCGCAATTTTGGACCAATTCTCTCACTGTAGGGCTGTAGGTTTGAAAAAAAACGGTAACATAATCAATTTTCCTTCCTCCTTGCAGCGCGCCCAGACACGCCCTTAATTAACCAAAAAAAATTACATCTTTATTAATAACAAATTAATTATTAAACAAAAATATTAAATATAAACTAAGCAAACGTGCATTGCACNCACGTTGCTTGCACCTAGTTTTATAAAAAAGTGTAGATAAAAATTAGATTTTTAGTAAAAGCTAATGAAAAAAGTTGTGAATTCAATGAATTTGTGTAATTAAAGTTAATTGTTGATTTTAACTTGAAATTGAAATTAGATTTTATTCTTTATTCAAAATAAGGACATAATAACAAACCTCTTAACAGTAACAATTCAAAAATAATATAATTTTCAATATCGTTTTCATTTCTATTTTTCTCGAAATAGGAAATAGAATGAAAGGTGCTAAAGTTTTTTATCAAGAGTATGGACATCCCTGTATAATAGCACTCAATAGAGATTTACTATTAAATTCAAGATGAAATGAACGAAGAAATGCATGAAAGAAAAACCTATGATTGCCGAAATGGGCATGCAATAGTGATTGAATTTAAATAATTTTAAATAAAATTTATTTGAAAAGTGACTTCTAATTTTTATTTATTTATATAAATATAATATAAGTTTTTTGTCTACCATTATTTTAAATTTTTTTCTTTCACACACATTTTCGCCATAAAATTTTTGCACGTGAATTCAGTTTTTTTTTTCCTTTTACTTTTTAATCATATATTTTTCGAAAATTTATTACTTCTATGCTTAGAAAATCATTTTTTAAAAAAATTTGAAACCCTGCTGTAAACCCTAAACCCCATTCTTTCTCCAAGCAACACGCACGCAGAAACTCGGATCTCCATCATGAAAAACACAGAAAAATAGTGTTCCTAATTCCTATTTCTCACCGATTCGATTTGTGATAAGTATGTTGGCCGTGTCCAGAGGCCTCATTAATCGTATCTCACATTCGCCTGCAGCTGTATCAGGTGCAATTTTCTCAAGGATCCAGTTAAGAACGCTCATTGCGGAGCCTTCAGTAAACGAGGGCAATGATTCGCGAATAATCAAAGCAGAGCCCGGTGTAATGACACCCAGTTCGAGGCGAACGGGTGTAATCGCAGTGAAATGTGGAATGACGGCGTTGTGGGACAAGTGGGGCGCCAGAATTCCCATCAGCATTCTCTGGTTAGATGATAATATTGTCTCCCAAGTCAAAATTCCAGAAAAGGAAGGCATTTTTGCTCTGCAGGTTCTTCTATTACTAATCCTTTATAACCTCTATTACTGCTGTTTTCCAGTTTATTTGTTTTGTCTTACTTAAGATTTATTGTTTGATATGTAATTTGTTAGTTTGTTCCAACCTCGTATATCTTTCGATACTGGTTTTTAGTTAATCTTGTTACGGTGTTGTAACCCTTCAAATTTAAATTTGTTGGGGATGGTTTAATGGGTTCATTACGGCTCGTCGTTACCACATTTTTTAAGGTTTAGGGCCTCGCAATCGGAATCAGTTGCTGTTGGAGCAAATTTGAATGAAATTTTCACTAACTTCAACTCTGAAGCCTCAACACAGTAGAGAATGCGTTTCAATTCCAGTCCACCAACCCAATTCTGCATATTCTATATTTATACAGGTGTTAAAAAAAAAAAAAAAAANAAGTGCAAGAAAATAATATTACTTCTTAAATGGGCTTAATTTTATGGTGGTAACCAGGTTGGGTGTGGACAAAAAAAGGAGAAGCATTTGACAAAGCCTGAAGTTGGTCATTTTAGAGCTCAGGGAGTGCCCATGAAGAGGAAGCTGAGGGAGTTCCCAGTAACTGAGGATGCCCTTCTTCCAGTTGGTACGTGCATTGGTGTCCGTCATTTCGTTCCGGGGCAATATGTGGATGTCGCTGGGATAACTAAAGGAAAAGGTTTTCAGGTGACATTCACTTCCTTGTCCTTTCTCCTAGTTTTTGGTTTCTTTTTATTGATGATACCCTTTTTTGATTAATGTGGACTTCATTGAAATATCAACAAATGAAGTGTCTCATGCAATCCTTCGTCAACTGATAAATAAAATGAATACCAAAGGATCCATAATTTTAGAGATGACCTAAGACTCAAAATACACAGTGGAAATGAAAAAGGATGTCATTACTTGTAGATCTTACCATGCTGATTGTCTCTGTTTACATTTGGATGCCTTCAGCACCATGGGGGTAGGGAGGACATTGAAGAATTGAATTTAATTGCTTTTCCACCAAAATGCAGACTTATGGATATATTAATATACCCCATCAATACGAGTTTAATGATCAATCACTTTTCCATCAGAAAAGAACAAACTATGCAATTCTTGCAACCCATGGTACTGAAAGCATTCACATTGACATACAGGTAAATAAGTCCCTTTTCGTTTTGACGATGCACTTGCAGTCTCAAAATCATTTCTAAAATTATGCACAGCCCTGTAATACTGAACACAGACAAGACAACCAACCACTTTTTGCACCCCATACACACCCACAAACAAACACACAGCCGGGAAGAGAATGAATGATGAAGAAAAGAAGAAAACAGGAGAAACAGGTGGTGCATGAGTAAGGTCTTCTGCTTCTGAATGTTCTTTTGTGTATTTTGTAAGTTTGTGAGAACATAAACTGTCACACGCCCATACCTGACATAAAATATCCTTGTACAAGTTAAAAAAGTGTCTAGTATGTAATTTTTATATTTCTTGGTACCTTTATAGTAATTATGCAAAAGAATCCAAGTTTATCACTTATGGAAGCCAGTTCTCAAGCACATTTGAGTTGTATCAGATGACAGTGTTTTCATGTTCTTCTGTTTGCAGGGTGGAATGAAAAGGTGGGGCTTTAAAGGTATGCCTGCATCTCATGGTGCCTCCTTATCACACAGAAGTATTGGTTCCACTGGTCAAAGAGATGCTCCTGGAAAGGTGTGCAACAGTCCTCATAGTGATGAAGTTCATTTTGTTTTTCATAAAATCTGATGTGTAGTTTCTCTTCCACTTGTAACCCTTTAGATCTTTTCTAAAGGCGATACTGAATTTCCATTTAATTTCCGCTGCTCATTTTCCCTCGAGTTTCGTTCAGACCATTCAATTCATAGATGTAGATCTCCGACCTATGAATGGGGATATTCCCGAAACTCAATTTTAATCTTTGGAAGGAGTTATTAATTCACTGTACATCATTTTTGGCAGCACACCTCTTTGATGAACTGTTTCTTACAACCAGATTTGTGGGATATGTGCTTATGCATACTGCATCCTTTCCTAGGAGAACAATTTTTAATTTAGGCACTTCTCATCTAGCTTTTAGCTTGTCATCTTTAGGAATTCAATCTTGTAAATTATCTTTTTGTTCATTAAATTAAGCCTCTGATTGTTCCTGAATTTGCACAAATACAATTTTAGGATATGATTATTTGGTTATGAAATTCAGTAATGGCTTGTTTCTTCTTGAGATATAAAAATAGCTGCAACCAAACTTTGGTAAATTATACTGCTATGCATACTGTGTTCTTTCATAGTAGAATAATTTAACTTTAATATACTTCTCATCTAGCTTTTTAGCTTGTCATATTTAGGAATTTAATCCTGTAAATAATCTTTTTGTTTGTTACATAATTAAGCTTCTGATTGTTCCTATATTTGCAAAACTAATAATTTAGGATATGATTGTTTGATTATGAAATCCAGAACGACTTGTTGCTTGTTGAGCTATAAAAATAGCTGCAACCAAACATGGGTAATCCAAGGAACAAACGTGCCCTGCAATGTCGGTTGCGAGATTTATTTTTGTTTCTATTTTTTATGGTTTTGATGTTCTCGAGTAATCATTTATTGTGATCAACAATCTTGGAGACTCCTAGTGACTTGATATTGCAATTGGCTCTTTGAATAGGTATTTAAAGGTAAAAAGATGCCCGGACACATGGGTGTGGAGCAAAGAACAGTTAAAAATGTTTGGGTTTACAAAATTGACCCTGCAAGGAACTTGATGTGGGTGAAAGGCCAAGTACGGTTTTCTTGCTCTTCTCCTTTCTACTTGTATGCATGCTTAGATTCTACCTGAATTCAGTAGGATTTATTTGCTTATCTGACTACTACCGTCCTTGCGTAAAGCAATATGTTTCACTATGTTGAATTGGCCCAATTTTTCCACAGTAGAAGTATTAACTTAGTAAAATGACCCAAGTTTATTCAAAAAAATGACATTATGTGGGCCAATAGGCAATGTATTCAATTAGTGTTTGGCATAAAATGATAGTCATTTGTGCTGTATATTGGCATCTTAAGAAAATGTCCTCCATCGACTTATCAATTAATATTTTTTGTCACTCTTGGTCCTCCAAGGGGGAGAATTGCTCTTTTCTTGAGCTCTTATTAATTGTATTGCCCCTTTCTGAACTGCTGCTACCTTGTCAGGTTCCAGGGGCCACGGGAAATTTTGTATTTATAAAAGATGCTGTGTACAAGAAACCAGATATTTCACTGCTTCCATTTCCAACATTTTTTGCACCCGAAGATGAAGACCCTACGAAGTTGGAACCTTTACTAGCTGATCTAGGTGATACTGATCCGTTCATGGCTGCAGATTGATCAGAGGGGCTGTTATGCCATTTGTATTGTGTTTTTTCTTTTCATTTTCTTGATAAATGGTGTTGGAGTTGAAGTTGGAGTTGTCAGTTTAGTTTTCTGAATTTTTGATGAATAGTGGGGGCTGCTTACAAATTTAACAGGCCTTAGGTGCATTATGATTTTTCTTTTTCAAGTTATATTACACTAGATTAGGAGGTATGGTGCATATAATGCAATGCTGTTTTACTAGAACTGCCTTTAAAATTGTTTCAATAAACGTGTACCTTGGTTTACTTGTTTGCATTTAACTCCTCTTACTTAGGTTAGGAGGCTAGGCTGTAAATTTTTGAATTATGGAGGCAGTGTCCAGAAGTAGTGTCAGAAGATGATTTGAAGGGAAATGATTGAAAAAGTCGATTGTGTTTTAAACTGACAAATGATAGAGTGTCACGTGACATTATGCCAACTTTTATGTCAACTTTAACGTGGATATAGATCATGCATCTAAGGTTGCACTAAAGGGCATTGGATTTTTCCCATACATGCAAATTGGTCCAATGAGCTTGTGATGTGATCCAGGACGCCGTTGCAACGAACACAAGCCCGAACAAAGATCAATTGATCGTTGAAACAAGATTGATGACTCGAGCGAGAGCAAGGCGAGTAAAAGAGGCGATGTCATTGTTTGTTCAAACTACAGTGGACGATATGGCGTCCATGACGAAGAATGAGGCAAGTTTCATGTTGGGATCGAGGCCGGAATCGAGTTGGACGACCTTGATTTGGATGACTGGAGATAGAGGGAAAGCTTTTCACTCTGCGACCGCATAGTGAAACTCAACATGCGGTCGCATGGTGATTTATCGAGACCAATAGGTCTCAATTCTTGAGACCTATTGTGACCGCATAGGTTAACCCTATGCGGCCACATAGGGTTATTTCGTACCAATTATTTTCTTTTTGCGTTTCTTTCCATATTTTGTTAGAATCCTAGTATATTTCGAATTTTACTAGTTTTGGCAAGTAATTTCGTTTTGACCTAGTTTCTAGGGTTTAGTATAAATACTTTATTTCATTCATTATAAAGGGAACCATTATTATTATTGAATCAATTCGTTTTGACCTAGTTCCTAGGGTTTAGTATAAATACTTTATTTCATTGATTGTAAACTTCAACCATTATTATTATTGAATCAATTGTGAGGCTTTATTGCTTTCAAACTCTTTGTTCTTCATTGAACAATCTCGAACTTATCAAGAATCAATTTCTTGTGGCGTTCAACTATCCAGGCTAGATTTATCAAGCGTGTGATCAAGAGGTCTTTATATCGTTGGCGATTGTGTTGGTTGCTTGGTTCACAATTCTTGGGTCGAATCCAAAACCTCGATTCTATTGGGTTTCTTGGGTTGGTTTTAATCTAGTTGTTGGGTTGCGTAGCTACTATTGCTACATGATTCTCATCAGTTGGTATCAGAGCAAGGCTCCAATAATCAAGGTTATATATTTTCTTGTTTTCGAGTCTTGTTTTCTTATTTTTCTTAGTTCTTCACATTCTTCGAGTCAGTCCGTATTTTCTTGAGTCTTGATTAAAAAAAAAATTACAAAAAAAAAAAAGAGTCAAAATTGTTTTTCGGATTATTTACAAGTCCAAATTCAATTCCATTTATTTTGCTGGATTTGTAATCACATTCTCGAGTAAAAAAAAGTTATTGTTCATCCGTATAGTCGGAAAAAAACAACAAAAAAAAATTATTTTTGTTACCGGGATATTTCCAGCAATTCAATTTCAATTCTTGAGTAAAAAATAAAAAAAAGGAAAGAAAGAGTGTCAAAATCCCGTTCAAGAACCACTTTCTTGAATTAAAAATTTAGTTTCTTCACTTCTATTTGTCCAGTTCTTTGTTGTCTTTTCATCTCATAAATTTCTTGAGTCATACATCGCTCCTAACCCAGTTTGAATTCTTCGTGGATAAGATTTGGTTGAGTTGATTTTGACTTTGAAGCACTTGGGTGAAGGCATCGAGTGAAAAAAGGCAGAGTGGTGAGATTAATAGAGGGAAAAAGCCATATTGAGTGAAAAACGAGAGAAACAGGCGAGACAAATAAATATTCTAGAATTAGGAAGTCTATCAAAGACGACTCTACATCAAGCGGAAATCAAGATCTAGCTGGGATGACGAATGACTAGTATCAGTGATTTGAAAGATTGATTGGTGATTTACGGGATGTGATGGCTATACAGGCTGCAGAAATTGCTGAATTGCGTAGGGAGCGCTCTCAAGAAATTCGTAATGCAAGGAGGCAAGGTAGGCAAGAGCGTATGATGAATTTTGAAGATGAACTTGAAGCAAGGAGTGGAGTGGATGAGAATGCATTGATGGATGTTGACTTAGGAAGGATGAGGGGTATAGTGTCAAAGATACAAAAATAGGTACAGTTTTAGCAAGGAGTGTTTGATGATCAAATTAAATTAACAGGTGAGGAGGAAATGAGAGTGAAAGAAAGGGAACGTAAGAGAGAAAATTATGAGGTGGCTAATGGAGAGGAAAAGAGAGTGGAGCCACATGAGGGGAAAAACAATGAGTTTGAAAGAAAAGAAAGAGAAGAAGAAAGGGAGATGAGAGAAAAAACGAGAGAAAACTTCTTTGCAAAAGGGGGTGACTTGAAGAGAGGTATAGTTGATAGGCAACCCATGATTCTTTTGGTATACAAAGAATCACTTCTCAGTCATGAGGATCCTAACATATCCCTTCCTAGTTTGGCTACTTCTTTGTTGCAGGAATTTCAAGATGTTTTTTCGGAGGATGTGCCTAGTGGGTTACCACCCATTCAAGGCATTGAACAACAAATTGATTTTGTACCTGGAGCTGTCATTCCAAACCGACCAGCATATCGTAGTAATCTCGAGGAGACCAAGGAGATGCAAAGGCAAGTGGAGGAATTGTTGAACAAAGAGTATGTGCGGGAGAGCATGAGTCCATGTGCCGTGCCGATGTTACTTGTGCCAAAGAAAGATGGAACCTGGAGGATATGTGTGGATTGCAGAGCCATCAAAAACATTACGGTAAAGTAACGACATCCTATCCCTAGGTTAGATGACATGTTAGATTAACTACACGGTGCATGCATATTTTCTAAAATTGACTTTAAGAGTGGATATCATCAAATTAGAATGCGTGAAGGGGATGAGTGGAAAACTGCTTTTAAAATTACATGCATATTTTCTAAAATTGATCTGGTTAACACCAATTTAGAATGCGGGAAGGGGATGAATGGAAAACTGCTTTTAAAACCAAATATGGATTGTATGAATGGTTGGTTATGCCATTTGGCCTTGCTAATGCACCTAACACTTTCATGCGGTTGATGAATCATGTTTTACGTGCGTTCATAGGTAAATTCGTGGTAGTATACTTCGATGATATCTTGATTTATAGTAAGGACTTGAATGAGCATGTAGAGCATTTGAAGTGTGTGCTTATGGTTTTAAGAAAAAAAGTTGAAATACAATTAAAGTTTTTCACAAGTAAAACGTACCTTTTTTGACAAAAAGAACCTATACAACAATCACGATAGGGAATAGAAGTTGATGAAAATAAAATCAAAGCTATTAAAGAATGGCCAATACCTAGAAGCATAACTGAGGTTAGGAGTTTTCATGGCTTAACTAGTTTTTATAAGCGATTTGTTAAGGACTTTAGTACACTTGCCACACCACTCACAGATGTTGTTAAAATGAGTGTAGGATTTAAATGAGGGTGTAGAACAAGAACGGGCATTTAATGATATTAAGGATAGGTTATGTAAAGCACCTGTTTTAGCATTAGTTAACTTTGATAGGGCTTTTGAAATTGAATGTGATACGTCGGGAATAGGTATTGATGCTGTTTTGATGCAGGATGGAAGACCCATTGCATATTTCAGCGAGAAGCTAAGCGGGGCAGCACTCAACTATCCTACATATGACAAGGAATTATATGCACTTGTTAGAGCTTTGGAGACTTGGCAACATTATCTATGGCCAAAAGAGTTCGTGATCCATACTGACCATGAATCCTTGAAGCATCTATGAGGCCAAGGGAAGCTAAACAAGAGACATGCACGCTGGATGGAATTCATTGAAACATTTCCATATGCCATTCGGTACAAACAAGGTAAAAAGGACGTAGTAGCAGATGGGTTGTCACGAAGGTATGTGTTTTTTACTTCTTTGAATGCGAAATTGCTTGGGTTTGAATATGTGAAGGATATGTATATGAATGGTGATGATTTTTCTGATATGTATAAGTCATGTAGTAAGGGGGCTGTTGATAAATTCTTTAGGCATGATGACTATTTATTTCGAGAAAGTAGATTATGTGTTCCTAAATGTTCCATGAGGGAGTTGTTGGTCCGAGAGTTACACAGTGGGGGTTTGATGGGTCATTTTGGGGTCAAGAAGACTTTAGAGATGTTGGGAGAACACTTTTATTGGCCTAAGATGAAAAGGAATGTAGAGAGAATCTGTAGTCGATGCATAACATGTAAGCATGCTAAGTCTAAGGTTTTACCACAAGAACTTTATACACCTCTACATGTGCCTAGTGAACATTGGGTTAATATTTCTATGGATTTTGTTTTGGGTTTACCTAGGACTAAGAAAGGACAAGATTCAATTTTTGTGGTTGTAGATAGATTTAGTAAAATGACACACTTCATTCATTGCCATAAGACTGATGATGCTACAAACATTGCAGATTTATTCTTTAAGGAGATAGTACGTTTGCACGATGTCCCAAGAGTATTGTATCAGATGGGGATGTTAAGTTCATTAGTCATTTTTTGAGAGTTTTGTGGAATAAGCTAGGAACTAAGTTATTATTTTCTACTATGTCACCCATCGACTGATGGATTGACCTAAGTAGTTAATAGAACTATGATTTAATTGCTACGTACTGTGATCAACAAGAATTTGAAGAGTTGGGAAGAGTGTTTACCTTTCATTGAGTTTGCATATAACAGGGTTGTACATTCTACCACCTCATTTTCTCCATTTGAGATTGTTTATGGTTTTAACCCACTAACACCATTGGATTTGATTCCTTTGCCTGTTAATGAACGTGGTAGTTTAGATGGGAAAAAGAAGGTGGAAACGGTTAAGTCATTGTATGAGAAGGTAAAGTTTCACATTGAGCAGAAGAACAAGCACTATGCTACACACCCAAACAAGGGGCGGAGAAGCGTTACATTTGAACCTGGTGATTGGGTTTGGTTACATTTGAGAAAAGAACGTTTCCCAGAACAACAAAAGTCCAAGTTGCAACCACGTGGAGATGGACCTTTTCAAGTCATTGAACGAATCAATGACAATGCTTACACGCTAGATCTTCTGGGTGAGTATACTGTTTCAGCTACTTTCAATGTGTCTGATCTCTCTCTGTTTGATGCAGGTACAGATTCGAGGACGAATTATTTTAAAGAGTGAGGGGATGATGTGATCCAAGACGCCGTTGCAACAAACACAAGCCCGAACAAAGATCCATTGATCGTTGAAGCAGGACCGATGACTCGAGCGAGAGCAAAGCGAGTAAAAGAGGCGATGTCATTACTTGTTCAAGCTACGGTGGACGATATGGCGTCTGTGACGAAGAATGGGGCAAGTTTTATGTTGGGGTCGAGGTCGGAATCGGGCTGGACGACCTTGATTTGGATGGCTAAAAATGGAGGGAAGACTTTTCACTATGCGACCGCATGGTGATTTACCGAGACCAATATGTCTCAATCCTTGCGACCTATGCGACCGCATAGTTTAATCCTATGCGGCCGCATAGGGCCAATTATTTCCTTTTTGCGTTTCTTTCCATATTTTGTTAGAATCCTAGTATATTTAGAATTTTACTAGTTTTGGCAAGTAATTTCGTTTTGACCTAGTTTCTAGGGTTTAGTATAAATACTTTATTTCATTCATTGTAAAGGGAACCATTATTATTATTGAATCAATTGTGAGGTTTTATTGCTTTCAAACCCTTTGTTCTTCATTGACCAATCTCAAACTCATCAAGAATCAATTTCTTGTGGTGTTCAACTATATGGGCTAGATTCATCATGCGTGTCATCAAGAGGTCTTCATATCGTCGGCGATTGTGTTGGTTGCTTGGTTCACAATTCTTGGGTCGAATCCAAAATCTCGATTCTATTGGCTTTCTTGGGTTGGTTCTAATCTAGTTATTGGGTTGCGTAGCTACTATTGCTACGTGGTTCTCACCAGCTTGAGTTCGGTTCAATCTAGCAACTGTACTTTAATTTACAAGAAATCGGGTCATTCCATTTGAGGTCCATCAATGATAATGCACAATCATTTAAAGATGAACAAAATTTTTAAAAAAATTGATGAATATAAACATCAAATACCTCAAGTTTTTACATAAAAAATCATGACTTGGATTATTATTTTGTCTGTGATATTTTAGGATCGATGTTTCTCCACTGGGGCACATTGATTTTATGATAGATGGGAAATTCATATCCATCTCCGTTGATTACAATTGGGAAGAAATCCTACAATTTCTCCATTCTTTTCACTAAAAAGAGTGATTTAAGTATATTGGTGTGATTATACTAAATTGAAGTTCAATTACTTAGTTTCACGATGGTGAATGCTCAATTATATAAATGCAACTATGGTGAAAGTTCAATGACCTTTCATGCAAATTATAGATGAGCTATGTAGGAAAATTGTTCGACACGTTGGCACATCATTAATTATGACGATCGTCTGCAACATCATTAACTGAATTCAGCAAAATGACATGATTCTTCGTAAATTAATGTATAATAACCAATTGTATAAATTTGCATGTGTTAAGCATATAGCTAGCGTTTCTTTTGAGTCGGAATCAAACTCTTTTGAGAAAATACGGGATGAAATACGGGATGTTGCATCTGAAAAAGAGTTCCCAGCCTATTTCATTTAAGATTAAGATCTGAGCAGAATTTTTTTCGAGATGAGTGTGCCGAGTGGCTATATATTAGGATGGTAATTGATTGCTTGGTCGAGCAGCTCACTAAGGAAGTAAAGGTGTTCATAGAATCTGAGGTTGAGACCCTATTCTGATTACTAAAATTAGTGTAGCGCGCAGAGTTGGGTGACCAAGTGATATCAATAGGTGCCTACCCCGGGGGAAAAAAAAAAAAATCAACTCTGTGTCGCCTTCTCTCAAGATTCTGAGTTTTTGCCCTTAAAGTTCATACCAAATCTACAAATCCCCAATGCAAAGGCTGCAAAAGTGATGGTTATTACTAAGAATAGGGACTGCCGGGTTTGTGGGTCACCGGATCCAATAACCCTGCACAACATCTGGTACCGGGGAATGTACGGCCAGCTATGCACGGCGTGCGTTCTAGCCCATCACGCGGCATCCTTTTGCCCCATCTGTTTCGATGTCTACGAGGAAACCAAGCTCCCTCCTCCACACCTTCGCGTCATGTGCCTCCGCTGTCCCGCCGTAGCCCACATCTCATGCGTCTACTCCCTCCCTTCTTCTTCATCCTCCTCCTCGACTCGCTTTCACTGCCCTCAATGTTCCATTCCCAATTTCACCTTTTTCAATTTGGTTGGCAGTGCTGTTCAAAATGGTAATGTGATTACTGAGGATTTGGCCAAGCAATTAGTGGCCTCGGCAAAAATTGCTTCAATGTCGTTGCATAAGGCGGCGGCTATTGCGAGAGAGAACGCGGAGAAGAGAGCGAAGGAGGCCGTGATGGCCAGAAAGAAAGCTATAGAGGCACTGGACAAGGTCTCCTTTTTGATTCTCAAAGAGGCGGAGGAGGATTCCAGATCATCATCCAACTTATAAAGTAATGGCGGTAGGGTTTCTAGAGATTTTCGAGCTAGATGTTTTCCTTTCTTCCTTTTTATCAGATGAACTTTTCATTGTAACTGCAGCCCTTTTTTATACTGTTTGTTGTGTGAATTTTTAATCTCTTTGCTGTGAGGTTTACCTTTTGAATCAGATACAATGAATTCCAAATTGCTGTGCTTAATATGCTGCTTTATGCATCTAAATAATGGAAGAATTTTGGCATTCTGCTGTGTTCTTTATGGATTAAGAAAATTTGTTTGTTTCACTTGTGATTTCAATCACCTACATGCCAATATATTGTTTTAGACTTTTACGTTTTAGTGGGAAGGTGAAACAAATATTAACTATGGCAAATACCTCTTAGAATCCATGTTATATCATTAGAGAAATCATATTTCTGCAGTAAATCTGTTTTTAAGGTGAATAATGTCGGTTAGGATCACTTTGTTCTTGTTTTTATTAATTTAGAGTTTGCACCAATTGTTTCTCACAAGGGTTATTGGTGTTAAAGAAGTACATAGCTAAATAGGAGAAAATATGGATACTGTAGTCGGGGAAATCAGTCTTCCCGATGCTAGAAAATATGAAAAATTCGCGTTTTTAACATTTTTCTTCCATAACTATAATTTTTCAGCAAAGATGGAGATCTTTAGATTTAAATTATTAAGCAAAATCTTATTTAGACGATAAATTAAAGACAATAAACTATGGATTTATCCATACCTGTCAAAAACAAGTTTAGGGTAAACAACTGATATTTTCGGAAATTTAGATTGTATAATTTTCTAAGATTAGAGAATTGCCGCTTTTGGTCTGCTGTTGTTTAATAAGGAAGATGCATTAACCTATGAAATCCCAGATATAGCATTTGATTTATGTTTACAAAATACAACATTTTCTCTCAGAAATTTGGCCCCGTTCTTAGAAATATATTGATACTGTTAGCTGAAATAACGAAATATTGTGGGATCATTTGACATCTGATCCAGAACGATAATGTCTATGAGCATCAGAGGGAAAATAATTTAAATTGGGCTCGGTCATATTTGATGTAGCACGAACAGAACCCTGTCTCTCAATCCCGACCCATTCATATCTATGCCAGTTTGCTCACTGCGGAATGGACAGGAATCTGTTTCTGTTAGTTGCAGAGGTTCCAGGTTTTCACATATTTGGTGAACAAATTTTAACTTCTTGTCGTCAGTCCGATAGTGTTTTTTTTTTGTCATAACTGATAAAGATTTTTCTTTTTCTGTAAATATTCATGTGGCCAAAGTTTTTGAGAATGTTTGGGTAAGCATAAAGTTACTTTCAAGCATAAAATATGCTGCTCCTTTAATTATTATTAGTTTATGCAAATCATAAATCATTTATTTCTTCCTGTCTCAGATCCTGCTACTGTCATCTCTGTTTAGTATGTATTCTCTATGTTTCCATTAGTTAAAACGTTTCTTTTCTTCCGTCAGAAAAAAAATATCGTTAGGACGAGTGTTTTCGGTACCTAGTGTCTGATAGATACACAAGCGCAGTCCTTCATTTAGGCACGTATATATGTTACTGATATAATGCAACTTCTAGTTTGGGGGGAGAGCATGATTTTATATTCACCAGATTAATAGTTTATGCAAGTTATTATATAGCATGTCAAACTCTTTCTGATATGGTGGTTTTTATTCTTGTCCTATCATCTGCTTTTTCCTTCGTATCAATATTGAATCCCAGAATTTGAATATTTTATATGAAAAACAGACTTCTGTTGATAGAAATTAACTATAAACAGCTTGCAGTTTTCACATTATTGTGCAGTAAAGTATTGTATTCAATTTGGTTCTTAAACTGCGTTGTATTGCATCTTGTTTTCCCTGAAAATTTCTTCGACTGCTCATTTGATTGCTGAAAATAGTTGCTCACTACCTATTCTTGTGCTGCATTTGACGCGGTGAAAGATTGTAGAAAATGAATAAAGGGTTTCTTGAAGCATTTAATGTGCTTTCATGGTTAAAATTTCCTTTCATCAAATATTTTTTCCTGTCTGCTTGCTCGCATGCACCGTTGTTAAGCAAAGGATGCATTCTGGGATGGTATTTACCACCCGAGACCGATGGCAAATCTTCGACTTGTAAGCCTTAAGGGCTCAAAGTGGATCAAATGCCATGTATTTCAATGGATTAAAAGACACTTATCTTTTCATTGCAGCGGTTGTTCTATACATGAATTCAGATGTCACTTGATTTGGAGACTAATATTTCTTTGTAAATTATTATAATGTCTGGCAATCATTCTCTACTCATATTGTGATCTCTGTCAAGATTATTATTTTTATACATGCGATTATATATTCTGTACTATTAGATAAGATTAGTGTGCTTACTTCGAGTCAATTACTCGAAGTGAGAGAAAAATACCCTCTCAACTGGGTTAGGCGTGGGTCTATCGAATGGATTGGTGCCTAGTTGTGAGGATGATTATATGGATAAGACACTAGCTTTCAACGTCATTTTAACGAGTCCCACCAGATGTAATGTCCTTTGGTACATTTTTGACATTTTAACATACCTCCTCTTCTTAGCAAATGAAAAGAGATGTCAATTACCCATTCGGGGGTGGTCGAGTTGGTGGAGCAGGTGAACGCGGAGACTAAAGGTCACGAGTTCGAATCTCATGCCAACACTTTCTCGATCGAGCCCGTTGCAATGGGCTTGCCTAGTGCAGTTTACCTCTCATGTGTAGTTTGCGGGCTACTACACATGGAACGGGGTTTACCTAGTGTTCACTCACAGTGGTCGAGGCTTCGCTGGCTGGTAGAGGCTGCGGGTTCTTACGTCAACAAAAAAATAAAAATAAAAAAGATGTCATTTTGTAATGTGTCGATGTATCAAAAATAAATTGGAGGACAGTTGAAGGGACAAGAAGTTCGAGACGATAAATCTTGATTAAAGAGATGTTAAGAGTAATGTTATTCATAAGTATTGTCGACGAACATCAATCTTTATGATTGGGAAGCTGTGGTCAATCTGATGTACCTGGCCAGTTATGGCCTGCATAATTTACTAGCAATGACAATCCAACCTCGTCACAACCTCTCCCAAGTCCCACTCCCTGTTGCCTAACAACGACAATGCTATCCATATGTCAATTAATTCTTAGTTGTGCATCCGTGCGAGGAGTAGATAAAAGCGTGACCTTAAACTCTAAATGGTAACTTGTAACAAAAGACAAAAAATAATAAATTGTATGCTTATCAGATGTGACCCAATTATTGACTCGACTAGAATATCGGTTTGGCAAGTTGTCGTTTAAATTGACATGCCAAAACCGATGGGTCATTGCAAGTTGTAAATTTAAATTAAAAAAATTACAATAAAGAAAATGTTGAAAAAGAAATGAACTTTTAACCTAATCTTTTCGTATATAAATGTTTTATTCATTTTCAATTCCAATAACTTTATTATTTACTTTAAACGTTAATCTCTCTGTCAGTTACTGCTATAATGTCAGTCGCCAACAAACGTACCACCATCGACCATTGTTGGGCCTCCCAAAGTCAAAAATCCTAGATATCCCAAGTTCAAACCATAACCTTAATACCTTCAAGAAACCCAGTTCAAAGGTGTCAAACCTATCGAGTTCCTACTCGGTTCTCTCAAGGTTTATTGTAAACCGGTACGTTGTAGCTAACCGGACCAAATTGAAGTTAAATAATTGGTTGTGGGTCCTTAATTTATGTACTATGTTTTTATTGATGTTTGACCGCAGGAATATATACCATCCCATGTGCAATATGTAATGCAAATCACTGTTATGTTCCGTGTAGTGTTTGTTCATGTCGTGATGGACCCATCCATTCACTTTCTTTCTTCTTGATATTCTACTTATTAGTTTACACCTACCTTTTCACACATTTTCACCTAACTACTTATATTTCTTTTATAGTATATTTTTGAAGAATACAAAGATTTAATTCATAAATTAAGAGTTGCAAATCGACATTAAAAAAACACGAATACATCACCAAAACCTACTATTTTTTTTTAATTTAATTCATAAATTAAGATGACTTTTTCTCAATATATTTTATGAGGTGATGAGATAAATCTCACGAAAGCTGACTAAGCATTCAATCCTATATTTTGAAAGCTTCTGAGTCGATAGCAATCATGTCACGTTGATAACACATGATACTCGCAAAGTCTTGTAAGCACCTTAATGGCAACACGTACGAGTATTGGCAAATAAGCCTATGTGAGGTAATTCATGATTTTTTAGAGAAAAAATTGAAAATACTAATTTGAAAGCGGAAAAATACTAAAAAAGTAAGAAAAGAAAGCAAAAGGTGCAATGATAAGATTGCATTTCCATGTTCCCACCTAGGATGGGAATTAGGAAATTTAGCAATAAAATTTATCCGTTGTTTGAGCTACATTTTTTGGTCAAAATGCATTTTATTATAGTGTTTTGTTGGAAAATATATGATTAAAAAGTAGAGAAAATTTTTAGATTTACGTGTAAAATTATTTTAGAAGAAAATTTATGATTGAAAATGAATTTTAAAAAATATTTTTTTTTTCTAAAAATGCATTTTAGTATGGTGTTTTATTGGAAAATATATGATTAAAATTTTTTTGGAAGAGAATTTGTGATTGAAAATGAATTTTTGAAAAAATGGAAACCAAACATAGCTTTCCACATTTATTTGTTACTGTGAGATAACAAAACATAGGGACTGTGGCGTGGGCCTTAGATTCCACGAGGATGGCCTCATAATTTTGCCCCAGCTCCATTATTAAAAAGGATGAATCGCATCCTTAGCGACTCTCACCTGTCCTGCCCTGGACTTGGTGAAAGAGGTAAATCGCAGGTTATGCTTTCAAGGGTATAAGGTAGAAGACTGTTTGTATACTTGTACTTACCCAATGATCAAATTCATATTTCAGAATTCGAACATTTGACACGATAGTCTCAAATAAAGCTGGACTTTTTCCACCTTTTCGTTTTACTACTTGGAGATGTGCCCTGAGGGCACCCCAGCTCCATTATTCCATGCTACAACGGGATGAATTATAATTTTTTAAAGAATATATAAAAAAAGAATTTTTTTTAAATTTATGTGCAATATTATTTTATTAAAAAATATATACTTAATAATAAGAGAGAAAAATAAATTTTATTATCTGTTTTGAGTTCGATTTTATTGTAAGAATGTATTTTATAATAAATTAATGAAAAATGTGTAGTTAAAAATGAAAAAAAAAATTGAGTTTGTGAGCAATACTACTTAGTTAAAAAATGTGATTAAAATTAGGAGAGGAAAATATATTTTAAAAGAAGAACAATGTTTAATTTGACGGGGCCAATACATAATTGATGAACGCTTTTTGCCCGTAAATTTATTATTATTATTACTATTTTCTGTTAATTTTCTTATTTGTTAAGGAAAATCTTGTCCCATTTTCTCCGTTGTCGTGCGCTGAATATCGGAAGTAGCTGCCTGCTTACACGTCTTTGGATCAGAGGATCAAATCTCAGTAAAAAATATATATTTCACCTTTATTTTTTCTTGCAACTTTCCTTTATTTTTTTTATTTATAATATAATATATATATATTTCAAGTTCACGCTAATACCTGTAAATTGTAGCAAAGATTTACAAATATATACTGGGATTTTGATTTTACCGATTTTTCGGTGAAAGATTAGAGGTGAATTGGACACGTTTGTTACTCTTGTTTTGATTCATAGGAGTGTCGGTGTGCATGTTTTCAAATATTTAGCTTAATTATAGGCTAATTAGTGTTGAAACCTAAGTTTCTTTTATGGGTTTGTAGAAAAAAACTTGATTTTTTTCATTTTTATTTTTTTGCTGGTTGGTTTGATAAAATTAGGTCAGTTAAATTTCATCTTTATGCTGTTGGTTTTCTGTTTACTGGGTGTATGGTATGTTAAATTATGGAAACTAAGTTTTTGGGGAAGAGAAATATTTTCTATAGTCCAGTAGTATCTGATTTAAAGGCTGTGGGGAAGAAGAACATGGAGTGGGATTTGAATGACTGGAAATGGGATGGTGATTTGTGTACCGCCACTAGGAGTGGGCAGTTGTTTCCTGTTGAACCAGATAATCGAGCTAATAATAATGGTGCATTGGATGGAGGGGATGAAATGATGTTGGGAAATGAGAGAGGAAAGAGGGAATTGGAGAAAAGGAGGGTTATTGATATTGAAAATGGAGAGGTGAATGATGAGAGTGGATCTCTTAATCTGAATCTTGGGGGACAAGTATTTCCCATCACACAAGGGGGTGGGGATATAGATAAATGGGAAGTGAAGAGTGGGAAGAAGAGTAAAATTGCTGGTGCATTGACTAATTGTGCAGTTTGTCAAGTAGAGGATTGTAGAGCAGATTTGAGCAATGCCAAAGATTATCACCGTCGGCATAAAGTGTGTGACGTGCATTCTAAGGCCACCAAAGCTTTGGTGGGAAATGTTATGCAGCGATTCTGTCAGCAATGCAGCAGGTCAGTTTTCAAATAGAGGTTTCCTTCAGAGTTTTTTTTGCTTTCTATTTGCTTACCTTGGAAGCAGGAATAACAAATTCGTATTTGCCGAGTATATATTTACTTTCCAACTGCTAGCTGCTATTTATTATGGATTCTCATTAAATTTGGTGGCAAACGACAAAGTCTGGTTGTCTTTTCTATCTTTGAATGCATAAACAGTTTGTGGTTTCATTATAATTTTTCCCTTTATGCATATATGCAAAATGAATAATTCTCTGCAGGTTTCATGTGCTTCAAGAGTTTGATGAAGGCAAACGGAGTTGTCGTAGACGTTTAGCAGGTCACAACAAGAGGAGGAGGAAGACGCATCCAGAGAATGCAGCTAATGGATCCTCTTTAAATGATGAGCGGGGTAGTAATTATTTATTAATTAGTCTACTGAGGATACTCTCCAATATACAATGTAAGTAACCATCTGTCTCAAAAATTATATATTCTGCCTCTTTCTGCTCTTAGTTACAAGATCGGATGGTGAAAGATAGCATTCCTATTCTAAATAGTGAAATAGACCATCAACATTTGTGCACGACATTTTGAGTAAAGTGATGATGAAGGAAACTTTGATGCATGGAGAAACCCACACATATACCTTCCTAGTTAGCTTGTGTTTCCATTTTATATTGCAAGAGGTGCTGTGCAGTTAAAATTAAGGATCAAGGTTCTTGGTTCCCTGAAAGTCTAACTATGCTGAGAAAATCTCATTATGATAGACAGTAGTTGTAATTGCAATCCAGTTCAACTGATGCAAGATTCTCTAGAGAAAGCTGAGTGTAGTATTATGATGTTAAATTTCAAGGGTAGCAAACAGAAATTACATGCTTGGAGACATTAAATCTTTTTGCAGATGGAAGCTATGCAAATCACTGTTATTGCAATTTCCTTGGTCTCTTTCTGTGCATTTCTTTCATGCTGCATTTGCTCTGTTAAACGTTGATCTCAAATTGGAATTGGTTGAAGGATTTCTTAGCCCTTGTTTGCCTATTGTTTATAATCTATTTATATTGATCAAACCACTTTTTATTCTTATATTTCATGGGACCCACTGTCCTTTTTGGCCCCCATTAAAATTATAATTCATTTTTCTCTCTCTTCTAATCAACCACACATTCTCCAATAAAATGATATTACACGTAGACTCAAAACTTTTTCTTCTTTTTTAACAACACATTTTTCAAAAAAATACTATTCCAAACATTAAAATGGCAAATAATGGGGACCAAACGGGGGCACAATTACAACTCACTTATCCACCACTCATTTCTATCCATTATAATTGATTATAAACAACTCCTTAACATGCTTTTAGTTTTGAAGTTCTTTCACTTTAGTATACAGGAACCATATTGAAATAAACTTTAAAAATGATCATAATGCAGTTCAACAATGACCTGTAGACAAGATGAATGAATTCAAGAAGGTTCAAATCGAGTTTCAAAATATTTATTAAGTTTAGCTGCCAGCCACATTGAAAGCGAATCATACAAGTAATAGACATACAGCAGCATAAGCTTATGTGTGTCCAAGATTGAGAAATCCAAGTTCAAGCGATTGTGGGTCAGGCAATGATATGTCAAAAGATTCATATTTTGCAGTTATACAACACAAGATCGATTGAAACTAGTTATACATACAAATAACTAAAGACCTGATTTTTTTGGTTAATCGAGATCGTATTTGGATGCGAGCAACATCAGATTTGAGAAACTTAATGTACTTGAGACAAATTTTCACGATGTGTTTTTCACTATAAATTGCGGAAGGTATTGGTTATGTAACTGATATCGTGAACCTAATTTAGTTAAGTTTTCAAGGTTTTGTGGATGTCCAACAACCATAATGTGCTTTAAGTCTATTCTGAGACCTTGGGTCATCTCTTCCCTCATGATACTACTGGAGTGTAAAGAGTTGGGTACAAGGAGATGATTTGAATATGGTGTTACGTTGAAGGGCGATATAGTTTTTACAAAGAATCCAAGATTCTTCTTATTGCCATGATGAGATCCCAAGCATGTATGGTGCTTTTACTTTGCCGTCAAGACAAGGGTAATTGTTAAGTCTTGAGTATCCAAGATTTTTGATATGAGATTGTACGTAGACGGATGTCTCTACCAACAATATATAATCAAGATGATCTAACTACAGAATTTGTACAGTTTTAAGAGTCTTGAGGAGGTTAGATAATATATAGAAATGAAATATAAAAAGAAAATGCCTGATTTTGATAGTATATCTCTGTTATTGATGACTTCAATACCAAACTAAGAAAAATGAAGAAACTTCCTTTTCTTTGTAGTTTATTTTCTTTTCAACACCCCCCACTCTGTGTTTTTTTTTTTTTTACTGTGTCATGACTTGGGTTACCTAGCTTCTGTTTGAGCTTCATTTTTTGTAAAAAAAAGGAGTTTTGTAATGGTATTTTTTGGGTTTACGTGTAAAATTATTTTATTGAAAGAATGCATGATTGAAAATGAGTTTGAGAAAAAAATAAGTTTTTAGATAATGGGACTCAAACAAAGGCTTAATCAGTTCACAGCTTCTCCTCTCTATATGAATTTCAGCCAGCTCAGATCAAACAAAGGATCAGGATCTGCTCCCTCATCTTTTGAGGAACCTTGCCAATCTTGCTGGGCCAATTAATGAGAGTGACACATCTGGGTTGCCACCTATTGCGACTGCAGAAAAGGTGTCGAATCTAAATTCGTATTGTCCTGAATTTACAATTTTTTTGGGGCAACTTCTGAATGCATTGGATTGCAGGACCCTCCTTTGGCCGTTGGGCAATGCATGAAAATACCTGCTTCTGGTGTGAGAGAAAATAGAATGCTTACTAATAATGCTCAAGATGGTGTTCTACAGAAAGAATCTTCATTTTTGTTGCCAAGGAAAGGAAGTAATTCAACCGAAGCAAATGCTTCAGATTCGGCGGTGGGAAAGGCAAAACCAACTACCTTTGACTTAAATAATGTCTATGATGATTCTCAAGACCATGTGGAGAATCTACTGGACCCTGTTGCTCCTTTATGTTTATATACAGACCCTCACACGTCTATCGCAACTCAAAATAGTGGAAACTCAGGTTCCACATCCACCCAGTCACCATCTACTTCCAGTGGGGAGGCACGGGTATAAACTGTTTTTGTTTGCATTGCACTGATTCAATTATTACCTTTAAAGTGATAGATAACTCGAAGAAGTGTGTTGTTAGCTGAGTTGTATGAGTTAGGAGTCATTCATATGGATGGATCTGTTCCCGTTTAAACTTATGACACATTTTCAACCTACTGACATTTTCAGTGTGGTATCTTCCTAGTACTATGAGAACATGTCTTAAATGAGTACATTGTGCGTACCAGTGCTATCAGTATTCCCCATATTTAAGCACGACTAAAAGATTCTCTGCCTCCTAATCATTATATTATTGTCATTACGGGATAAGTAATAATTTTTAGAAGCAATGCACCGTCAAGATTCAAAAACAGAGTATAGGATGTCATGAAAAAGAAGAAAGAAACTCAGGATAATCATCTGCGAAAGAATTGATACCTACAAATATTGAGTTGATGTGTGTTAGAATAGATAGATCTTTGAATTAAATTTTAGATATATCCAAATCTGGATAAAACATGATGATGTTTAGTGTAGGTTTTTAGGATGTGTTATTTACCTTGTCTAACAGAATTTTTATTTAATGGAAATTTTCCATATGATTTCACAGAGTCGCACAGATCGAATTGTTTTTAAACTCTTTGGGAAAGATCCAAGTGAAATTCCTCTTGCCCTACGAAAACAAGTATGTTGACCTTTTCAAATCTTATATTTCGCTTTGCCATTTTCTAGTGGACTTCACGATTGAGAGCTTGATCTTGTCAAATGCTACTGCAGATTCTTGACTGGTTATCGCACAGTCCTAGTGATATTGAGAGCTACATTAGACCTGGTTGCATCATACTGACAATATATCTGCGAATGGATAAATCTACTTGGGAGGAGGTAATTTTTACTTCATTTCATTATTAAAGATAACCAATTACTGCCAGTTGTAGTGTAAACTATGGCCTGAGCCGAGTTTAGATGCATGAGTATTTTGAACCAGCCAGTTATATTGAATCTAGACTGTAAATGTATGAGCAGAGCCGACTATAAGTAGAATGTATAAATGTCTGCTTTCTCGCAAGTGGAATTCATAAATTGGAGTTGAGTTTGGCTTCAGGAGCTATTACTAGATAATTTGGCTTAATTGAGCTACATATGATACTATACCAAACTGTATATGATCTCTTATATAAGAAATTTGCCTTTTATCTTTCTGGTTACTATTCTTGCAGCTTTACTGTGATCTAAGTTCCAGTTTGAGGAGGCTTGTTGATTCATCTACTGATTCATTTTGGAGAACAGGATGGATTTATACTCGAGTGAGGCATCGTGTTGCGTTTCTATATAATGGTATCTTTCCATATTTCTATTCTCATGTCGCCTCTAATTCTTTGTACTTAAAACTGTATAAGAACTATTTGGATGGGAAGACTGAATTTTTTCATTACTTTTGCTTCAGGTCAGGTTGTTCTAGACACGCTCTTACCACTTAATAACCATAGAAGTTGCAGGATATCAAGTATCAAGCCAATTGCGGTTCCTGTCTCAGAGGATGTTCAATTTTTCGTTAAAGGCTTCAACTTGTCTCTCTCCACTGGGAGGTGTTCTTTTCTAAATCCCGTTGATACCTTGATTTCGAAGATGTAGTTTACTACAGGATATTTGTAATAATACAACATTTTTGAGCTAGTTGTATTTTCTATTCCAGGTTACTATGTGCACTAGAAGGGAAGTATCTAGTCCAGGAAAGTTGTGCTAATGTGACAGGAGAAGCAGATTCACTAATTGAACATGATGGGATGCAGTCCCTTAGGTTCCCCTGCATTATACCCAGTTTCACAGGAAGGGGATTTATTGAGGTGATTTTATTTTCACCACTATATGTTGCCTATGTAAATGTAGTTTGCGTACAAGTTATGCTTTGGGTCTGCAAGCTTTGATGGATATTCTCTTTGTGAGTTCTGAATTGTGGTTGTCATCCCTTTTTTAGGTTGAGGATCATGGTCTTAGTAGCAGCTTCTTTCCATTCATTGTTGCAGAGAAGGACGTCTGTTCTGAAATTTGTACGCTGGAGAGAATAATTGAGGCCTCTGAAGTTGCTAATGGCATTGAGGGAGATACTGATAAACTGAATGCTAGAAACCAAGCTTTGGACTTTATACATGAAATGGGTTGGCTTCTCCATAAAACTCACTTAAAGTTCAGGTTGGGTGAAAGCAATGTCAACATGGATCTATTTCCTTTCAGACGGTTCAGGTGGCTCATCGAGTTCTCTGTTGATCATGATTGGTGTGCAGTTGTTAGAAAACTATTGGGTATTCTATTTGGTGGCAATGTGGATCCAGGGCAACACAAGTCAGTTGTGCTTGCATTGATGGATATTGGCCTTCTTCATCGAGCTGTGCGGAGAAACTGTAGGTCCATGGTAGAACTCCTATTAAGATACCATCAAGATGAATTTTTGAACAAATCAGGATCCATACATAAGCAACGTGATGAGGACTCATATATATTTAAGCCTGATGCAGTGGGTCCTGGGGGATTGACTCCTCTTCACATAGCAGCTAGTCTAGAAGGCTGTGAGAATGTCTTAGATGCATTAACTGAAGATCCTGGATTGGTACTTTTTCTTTCTTGTATTTTGGTTTATATTTATGCCTAAGCACAATTTTTCTTGTCTCGATGATAAAGTTCGATAGTTGCCCTACTAAAAACTGAGAAGAATGAATAGTTGAACCAGAACTAATTTTGTTTTGGTCTCAGTTTGTGCATTTTCTGCTTATCCCTTTTTGAGTCTATCTACTTGAATCATGACTCTGAAACTGCTCTATTCATATTCTAGCAGTCCAAGAATTTGTACTCAAGATATCTGTATTTGTCTGCAATAGAGTATTTGTGTAGCTCTATGTAGTATCTCACAAAGCGCCAGTTTGTATATGTGTATTGGCTGTGCATTTTTCGAGTGCTGAAACAGCTTCCTTTAGAACTATAGCAGTAATGATATGCATTTGCATTATTATCTACAGTTTTTCGACTTTGCCTGCTTCCTTAATAGTTGGTACAAATCCTTGCTCTCTCTCTTTCACTGATTAATCAGAACAACCAGTTAGAATGTTTATTTTGTATAATTATACTGTTACTCCATGCTTATTTGTATAATTATACTGTTACTCCTTGTGTGAGAGAACTTCACAAGATCATGATTGCTTCTTTGTTCAGGTGGGAATTGTAGCATGGAAGGGCGCTCGAGACAGTACAGGCTTAACGCCCTATGACTATGCATGTTTCCGTGGTCATTTCACGTATATTCATCTCGTCCAAAGGAAAATCAACACGAAAGCAGGAACTGGACATGTTGTTGACATTCCCAGTACTCTTTTAGATGGTAGTAGCATCAAGCACAAAGCGCCAAGTGATGCAGAAAAATCAGCTGCTGCCTTTGAAATCGAAAGGGGCGTAGGAAGAGCAAATGAGATACAATGCAGGCAGTGTGAGCAGAAACTGGGTTATGGAAGGTCGTCAAGATCATCACTGGCAATTTATCGACCGGCGATGCTTTCTATGGTTGCGATTGCAGCAGTTTGTGTATGTGTAGCTTTGCTATTCAAAAGCTCACCTAAAGTTCTTTATGTGTTCCAACCCTTCAGGTGGGAACAATTGAAGTATGGATCAAGCTAAACTAGTTATGTGAACAGGATTGGTTCTTGATGTCAGTATGTTGGATAGAAATCTGTTTTAAGTACTAATAAGTAACAGAGAATATAGATTGATCAGCTGTGATATAAGTTACTAAATTATAATGTCTCAATTGGGTTTTTGAATTCTTTTTTACGACCATTATTTGAGGAAAATAGAGTTTTGAATAGTGATTTTTAGAAGAATGTATGGTTACAAAGTGGGAATTTTTTTTTATTTACGAGCATAATATTTTATTATGTGAATGCGTGGTTGAAAATCAATATATATATAAAAAAGAGTTTGAAAATAATAGTTGTCAAACATTGGTAATTTATTTCAAATTTAAATATCACATTTCATCACCTATAGTCCTCGTTTGGCAAAGTTTATAAGTTATTTATACCATACATTTTAACGAATTTACAAGTACTATCATTGGCACTTAATAAGCCTATGTTTGATGGTCATTATTTTGAAAAAATAGAATTTTGAATGGTAATGTTTTGAAAAATGTGTAGTTAAAAAGTAAAATCTTTTTTTTAATTTACGTGCAAAATATTTTATTGTGTAAATGTGTGTTTGAAAATGAGTACGAGAATTAAAGAATTTTGAAATAATAATCGTCAAATATAAGCAACAATGAAAATTCAATAATCTTTAGATGTCGCATTAAGTGGAATTCGAATAAATTTTGAACAATCATTTATCATAAAGTATGGTTGTTGCCCCATTCTCCCATTTGAGTTTCTTCATTCATTGGGGTGATCCCCTCTTCTCACGTTCGATGTTTGCTCGTCGTTGTTCTCCCATTTAAGTTTGTCCATTCATTGGGGTGATCCCCTCTTCTCACGTTTGATGTTTGCTCGTCGTTTAAGCCCGTGAATGAGATTTCTGCTGATCACAGTTATTTTCGGGATCCTTCGCCCCTGGATAGTATCAAGACACTTGTACCTCGGTCCTTTATCAGCTGCCCGTCTTTGTTAAAAAATAAAAGTAAATGCAAATTAAATGAAAAACAAACGAAAGGATAAGAAGGTCATTTAGCTACAACAAATTTGCTCTTCTTCTTCATCCAATCTCACTATACAGCTGTTTTTCAAAATTGTAGCAAAACATGGCAACGTCGTCGTTTCATCTGTCCTTCTCCTCCTCCCTCCTCTTTTCTCCTCTCCCCACCACCACCGGTGGCGCCGCCACCCGTCGTCTTCCCAGACTCGCCATATTCTGCTGCTCTTCCTCCACACCCACTGCCACTCCATCATCATCAACAGTGACCTTGCCAAAGAAAAAACACTGGAAAGCAGGAGAATACCCGGGCGTCACTGAAATCTTCATTCCACGACTCTCAAACAGTAACAACAAGAGAAGAACTCCCATAAAGAATATTAAGAAGAAATTGGATAAGAAAAACAATGCCAAGGCATGGGTCAACACTGTCACTGAAGCCCTCTCTGATGCCATTGACAAAAAGCAATGGCTCCTTGCCCTTCAGGTCTTGTATTTTCCCCCTCTTTTCAAGTGTTCATTTTAACATTCCTGACCTGTGTTTTTTTTTTCTTCTAAATAATTTATGGGCATATAAATTTTTGTGGGGTTTATACTAATTTTTTGTATGCCTTTTCTTGTATTGTTATGGATTAAATGTGATTGTAGTTAATGACTTCAAATGATTTCAAAATATGAAGAGGAAAAAAAATGAAAAAAAAAAAAAAAGAGGTTGTTCTTAAGTAAAGAGGGGATAATAATTTTTCTTACCTGAATTTGGTTTAAAACATGCTAAGGAATCTTAAGCACAGGTGAAAGAAAATTGATGCATTCGAAAATATAGGTCCTATAATAGTTGTTCTTTCAATTTTAGGTGTTTGAGATGCTAAAGGAACAGCCCTTTTATCAACCGAAAGAAGGGACATACATGAAGCTCCTTGTTCTTCTTGGGAAATCTGGACAACCAGAACATGCCCGTCGACTTTTCGATGAGATGGTTGAAGAAGAACTGGAACCAACCTCAGAACTTTATACTGCCTTGCTTGCTGCCTATTGTCGGAGCAATCTGATCGATGAAGCATTTGCTGTGCTTGAACAAATGAAGGCTCTTCCTCTCTGCCAGCCTGACGTATATAGCTTTAGTATCCTGATTAAAGTTTGTATTGATGCTTCTCGTTTTGAATTGGTTGAGTCCCTCTATGATCAAATGGCTGAAAGATTAATAACTCCAAACACTGTTACTCAAAATATAGTGTTGAAAGGTTATGGAAAGGCAGGGAAATACGAACAGATGGAAAGGGTGCTCTCCGGGATGCTTGAGAGCACCACGTGCAAACCTGATGTGTGGACTATGAATACTATTCTTAGCGTGTTTGGTAACAAGGGTCAAATTGAAATGATGGAAAGATGGTATGAAAAATTCCGCAATTTCGGAATTGAGCCAGAAACACGCACTTTTAACATTCTGATTGGTGCTTATGGGAAGAAAAGGATGTACGATAAGATGTCTTCAGTAATGGAATACATGCGTAGGCTTTCATTTCCTTGGACGACATCAACATACAACAATGTAATCGAGGCATTTTCAGATGCAGGTGATGCCAAGCACATGGAGTATACATTTGATCAGATGCGTGCTGAAGGCATGAAGGCAGACACCAAGACCTTCTGCTGCCTCATCAGAGGGTATGCCAATGCTGGTCTTTTCCATAAGGTGATCAGCAGTGTTAAATTGGCTGGAAAATTAGAGATACCTGAGAATACCTCGTTCTTTAATGCTGTCATATATGCATGTGCAAAGGCAGAGGATTTAATGGAGATGGAAAGAGTTTTCAAGCGAATGAAAGATAAAAGTTGCCAACCAGATGCCACAACTTACTCTGTTATGATTGATGCATATAGAAAAGAAGGTATGAATGATAAGGCCTATGATCTGGAGCTAGAAAATCAGATGATCAATGCTGATGCTGTTTCTGAAAGCGACCGTGATGTTGAAGCAGATGCTTCACTGAATGTCCAATAAAGAACTGATGATATCATTGTCACTCTTGGTTCAGTTGGATTATTTCAGTTGCGATTCGTCAAGCCTTCTGAGGTGGACAAATCATAGAGTTAACATCAAATATTGAGGCAACCTCAAGGCATTAACAAACAAACATTTACTGTCCAAATGGAAGAAATGTTAGGTGATTTTGATGCAACAGAGCCGGCTTTACCCCTAAATTGATATGAAGAATCTCTATGCACCCCCAGGATTCCAACTTGGGAGGGAGGGAGAGTGGCTGCACCAAAACTGCTACTCTGCTTTCCCTTTGTATTATCTTTGTTTAATATGTCTACCACTTTTCTTTAATTGGAGGTGCTTGGAAAATTAAAAAAGAGAAAATGTTTTGCTATGGAAATTCCATACATAATAAGCTTTGTCAAACATGTTATAAAGTAATTCCACAGGATTATCATAAGCTCTGTGTGTCCATGATCGTGTGAAAACGATAGCTTCTATGTACAAGTATTATCGTGTTATCCTACTCGGCGTCCTAAATTATGCTTATGATAAGCTTGCCAAATATGTGGAAGGCAGGCTGATCTACGGGCAATTGCGTGTAGATATTGAGTACCATGGGCATGGACACTATATGGATGGTCCGTGATAGTCGGCACAAAATTTTATTATGTATTGATTTTGATAAGAGTCATGCTAGTTGTACAATCGAGGTTGACAACCTCGGTTAACAACCACTCACATGGGGGTCTACTTTTTTATTTATTTTTTATTTTTTAAACATGCGACCCCACACACATGTGAGAGGTTGTCAATCGAAGTTGTACAAATAGAATTTTCCTTTTGATAATAAGATTGTGCAGTTCACATTTCCTATGACATTTGACCATTTTAAGATATTTTGAGATTGTGCAGTTTACAAAATCAAATCACAATTCATGGAAAGTTAGACAATATAGCCGTTAGAATTAATGTTTGAGAATGAATCCTCTGTTTTTAACTTTTTAGAAATTTCACTTCTGCCTAGTTTTTACTTTTTAGGGTAAATTTCATCCTTGATCGTGTAAAATTGTTATATTTTAATTTGTCAAACTTCAATTTAGTCTAAAATTTCATCATTTTGTCACATATCGTCCAAATCCTCCAAACTGTTAAAAATTACTTAACAGATATATTATAACCGATCTTCCATATCCGCTACAAGACACCGTTGAAACAAAAAAGATAAAATGAGTGCCGTGAGATATCGTTAACTTAAAACGATAAAATACATGACGTACTGAAAAGTCGACTTGTCATGCAACGATTATGTAAAAACTTTGTTGTGTGACGAAAAGGTGAAATTCGTAACTAAAGTTAAAGCTCAGTGACTCAGTTAAAACTAAATTGAACTAATTAAGAGGAATTAAGTTTTAACGAAACAATCGAAATTTCGTCGATGGCAAATAAAATTTACTCGACATTTTCCATTTTTAGAAAGATTCGCACTTTTTTATTTTTTTTATATCACCATTTTGAAAATTATTGTAACATACATACAAATTAATATAGCATTTCTCAAAATTCATTAGCCATGCCATGGGCCGTCACCTCTGCTTCCACAAAGCAACTATTCTTCACCAGTAAACCAGCCAATTGCATATTAAAATAACACATAGACACGAATCTTGGCCAGCCTCGTACACAATTTTTTGCACTAAACCAGTAATTAGCTGCAAAATATATCAATGGTTAATTAATTTCAAATCTATGTATGGTAATTTATAAAGCAAATAATTTACCTGTCGCAAAGTAATTTTTTCCCTTTACTTGGTCTAATATACGTATGGTGAATTCTGCATATATTTTAGTTGCGGGAGAAAGTTTTTGTGGTTCGGCCAATGCCAAATACACCGATACAAAATTGTTCGTTCCACTTCCTCTCCCTTTTGGATATAGTTGTATCTTCCTGCATCCACCGATGAGTATCGTTACGCTATACAGAAAATAGTCGAGATGAGAGTTGGAGTTCGACTAGATAAGATGTATACCATGTTTGGTCTGCAGCATTGAATGGGTTGGAGTCTAGACATTCGTCAGTTAAAGTGGAGAAGTTGTCGATTTTCCAAGTGTGTTTGTAGCTAATGGCGTCCTTTATCATCGATAAAATCTCTCCTTTTCCGGTGTGCTTTTCTTGAGTAACATAAACCTCGGCTCCAAACACGCAAGTGTCATTCACCAAATACCCCTTTTCAAGATCGTTGAATAGAGTGAGAGGTACAAATTTATCGAAACCCCACTCGAGCTTCATTCTATGAAACCGTTTCCCCTCAATATCTAATTCATTCGATGATNAAGATAACTAAAAAAAATGTCATATACTTTTTTTCTTTAATTATATTAATATATTAAGTGCTTGTTTGGCAAAGATTAAAATCCAACTAAAATTGAAAATATAGCCGTTATTAGGTCTCACTCGTCTAATAAAAGTTAACAATAACGACTAGTTTTTCAATTTTAATCCGATTTTATTCTCTACCAAATACGCCCTAAATTCTTGTTATACTGTCAGTCCAATCATGTTCAGTATTACGGCCATCTTTTAAACACACTTTAAGAGTGTTTGATGCACATTTTATAGGAGAGAATGCATATTTTTTGTGATGTGATGGTAAATATGTGGTTCAAAAGAAGGAAAAGTTATTAATGTGATGAAAAATATTATTTTATTAAAGAATGTGTGGTTGAAAATGAGTAAAAGAATGAGAATGTGGCTTAGACGGGGCTAACTTCCTTACTCTGTATAATATGTACATCCATGTTTCTAGAAGTAGGGACCTTGAAAAATGCTTAATTTGGTCAAATTTCTTAATAAAATTTTGACCTTAGTGGGTTGGTGTCATCAGTCAGTTCAATGTATCATTAAAAAAACAAATGTTATGAACCAATAAAGAAAATTAAAGTCTTATGTTGTTAGGATGCAACTAGGGTTGTGCTCTTATGTTGTTAGGATGCAACTAGGGTGGTGCTACTTGTACATTATGACATCCATAATGGATGATATAATGTACAAGTCGCAGTACATTATTGGAGGGTGTGCTGGTATGTACAAGTAGCACAACCCAAATATAAAATATAAATATATGATTATTGTACCATTTGTAGCCACCAGCCTCAAAATCAGATGAATGGTATGCATCTATTTCATTCTTCTCGAGTTGCGAAAATAACTGAATTTTCATCGTAAAGTGATTAGGTGGTGTATCTGAGATCGACCCCGACATCCCTATTTAAATACACAAAAAAGATAAACGAAACAAAAAAAAAAGAGTAATTAAAATTTTAAAAATCAGTAAAAATCGAGAAAAAAATTAAAAATGTTGCGAGGGCGATCGCCACCCATATGGCTCTGCCATTGAACACATGCATACCATCTTGATGTGGTAAGGTAATATCTGCCATCAAAAAATGTATGGAAGATTAATTGAGAGCATTGGAACGAATTAATGTAGCTTTTAAGGATGAAGAAATTATATTCCAAAAGGCTAAAAGGAGTTTATCCTTTGCTTTGATTGTCAAACTAGCTTGCCATTTGTTTGCAGCATTGAATAACATACCCAAGGAAGCAAGAATATGCACCCTAAATAGATTCTCAAATGACAAATCAATCGACTTTTTGGCCGGGACGTCAAAATGAGTGGGTCGGTCCAAATCGACTTGCTTATGATAGAGACCGGGTTAGGTGGGTTTGAATACGATCGTCTAAAAATATAGTTCATATCGGACCAACTCGTAAATGAGCCCGGTTCGATTTAGTTCATGGAAAGGGTACATAATTGTGAACTTGAGCGGTCCAACTGGTTTTAACACAAATTCATCTATATTCTTCAATACACACATAAGCAAATAATAGAAATTGAAAGTTTTTTAGAAATTCACTTCGAGTAATGTTATTTAGCATAATTGGTGCTTTACAACATTTTATGTGACAGGGGAGTCATTGTTTCATTGTTTAACGACTGAAAATACATTCCAAAGTTTATTGAACAATGTGTCAACAACCTATTATCACATAGGTTGTTGATAAGCATCACTTGTGCTACATAACATTATTTATTAACTTCTTTTAAATTTTTACTTTTCGAGTAAATTTCATAACCGGTCACTAATTATAAAACCCATTTTCCTTAGACTAATCAATGTTACCTTACTAATTTCCACAAAGAGTCAATTTTAACTTTGAAAACTTCAAGGATTACTCCATGTAATCTCCTAAAATTGGAGGATAAACCACTATAAATACGTGTTCTTTGATAGTTTTCTAATTTCTTTTTTCATTTGTTATTGCTCTCGAAGTTAGGGTTAAGGTTGAATCCATTACATAAGTAAACCCAACGACTAAATAATATTTGTTACGGGCCTTCTGAGACCTTCACCTCACCCATCCACCTCATCTGCCACGTGCTGGCCGAACTGCTTTGGTGTTACCAAGTGGCAGACGAACTGAATTCATGTCGGACGGACTGATTTCATTATTCCGAACTGAAGCACCATTGCCCCACCTAGTAGAAGAGCCGAACTCATCCCCCATTCACGGCGGATGCAACGGCCCGTACTCCATATTTATCATGCCTCACAATTCGCCTGGCCACATCCCTGTTAAGATCTTTTAGGAGATCTCTCTAAAGTCAAATCTCTAACTGATTGATGGGGCGTATGGCAAACTACAAAACGGTCAACTCAGCTGCTATGTCAGGAACCATTTAATGTATGCCAACCTAGGGATTGACACCTGTGAAAAGATGGGTCATCCGGGATCTGAAGCCACGTGTCACATCATCTAACGGTTCATCTCTTCCCTTAGTATAAATACCCTCATACTGGTAAGAGTTAGGGATTCCCACTCTAATCTTTGCATTAGACTTTAACTCCAGAAAGCCTTTCATTTCACTTACACATTTTCACAACAACGTTCCGGTGACCACTTCATCGTCGGGCACCACCTTCCGGTTGAACAAAATACTGACTTGACAGTCGGAGTGCTCGCGGACGCCTCCACCCCCATCGAAAAAGGCCACGAGTGACTAACGGTGTGCTACCGTGCGCAGGGAGGAGCTTACGTGGAGTCTCGTTTTGTTGGCCACGTGTCGGATCCATTTTTCGAGGTCGACAATATTTAACAAAAATATTATTCCGAGTACGTAAGTGGATAATATTATAGAGTAATGATTTATGTTCAATGATTTATAAATGGTAAATCATCCAAAATAATCAACATACTCGTCTAAAATCAAAACTCTTCAATTCACGTATTCATTTTCAACAAAACATTTATACAATAAAATATTTTGCACGTAAATCCAAAAAAAAATTCACTTTTTAACCACACATTCTCCATGAAATCACTATTTAAAACTCGGTTTTCTCAAAATAATGTCTGTCAAACAAGGGCTTAGTATCGAATATGACTACTATGTCACATTTCATTGCATATCATCCCAAACTAGTAGGATTTGCTTAGTAGTGAGCGCATAATAAAAAGCGAAAAATCATAAAATGAGGGTTATGACAATATCTTTAGATTTAAAGATTTAAATTCGTCATTTCTATTTCAATATTTTTATTACATAACGTAGTGGTAAATTAGAATCCACACAAAGATTACATCTGTTGCAGTACGACTACCAATTTCCTTTTTTATTTCATGAAAAGGAAAAGAGTTTATTAAGCAATTTCCTTGACCATACAAATGTAGAAGTGCATCTCAAAGTTCATTAGTCATGCCATTGACAGTAACCTCAGCTTCCACAATGCAGCTGTTCTTCACCAGCAAACCAGCCGATTGCATCTTAAAAAAACTTATCGACGTAAATCTTGGCCAGCCACATGAACTATTTGATGCACTGTACCAGTGAGTAGCTGCAAAAGCACACCACACAAATTACTTTCGAAACCGTATTGTTTATGAGTTGGAGGTTTGTTGATTCTTCGCAATATCGATATTATATGAGTCGTGATTTACCTGTACCAGCGTCATGCCTTCCATTAATTTGGTCTAATATACGTAAGGTGAATTTTGTGTACATCTTAGTTGCAGGAGAAAGTTTTTGGGGTTCAGCCAATGCCAGATATAACGATATATAGATGTCCTTTCCCCCGCCTTTCCCTTTCGGATATACCTGTATCTTCCTGTATCCACCAATCTTACATTTACACAACGTGGAAAATAGTTGAGATGAGCGGGAGTTTGATTAAAAAAGATATATACCATGTTTGATCCGCAGCATTGAACGGTTTGGAGTCTAGATATTCATCAGTTAAAGTGGAGAAATTGTCGATTTTCCAAGTGTGTTTGTAGCTAATGGGATCTTTGACCAATGATAAAATCTCCCCTTTTCCGGTGAGTTTTTCTTGAGTAACATAAACGTCAGCTCCAAACACGCAAGTGTCATTCACCAGATATCCCTTTGCGGGATCATTGAAGAGGGTGAGAGGTACAAATTTATCGAACCCATACTCGAGCTTCATTTTGTGAAACCGTTTCCCCGCAACATCTAGTTCATTCGATGATCACACGATTGATTAATTAAACCGACTTCAATTAATTTCAAATTTAATAGGTAGGTGTAGGTAGCTATACCTTCGAGTGTAAAATAATTGTCTTTATTTTGATCAAGCAAAAACAATCGAAAAGTTGCATGAATCTCCCAGCCAGGATTGAGAGACTCTACCTGTGTCATCACCAAGTACACAGAAATATGGTCCGTAATACCTTTGTCTTTGTTTCCATTCGGGTAAACAACCAAGTTCCTGCAAATTAACACGACATTAATTTCACATTTAAATCACACCTATAAATAATAATTAAGTACGCATGAAATATGTACGCATACGTATTGTTTGAGACCTATCTTTGGGCAAAAAATGCATTTTTTAAATAGTGTTTTGTTGGAGATTGCCTGGTTAAAAAGTAAGGAACTTTTTCGATTTACTTGAAATATTATTTTATAGGAGAATGTGTGGTTGAAAATGAGTTTTGAAAAAATGGGAGCCAAACAAAGGCATATAATTATCGTACCATTTGTAGCCTCCAGCCTCAAAATCGGATGAATGGTACGCCTCTGTATTTTTATTTGCGAGTAGGGAAAATAACTGAATTTTCATTATATAGTGACTAGGTGGTGTATCTGAGGTTGACCTCGAGATCCCTAATTAAGTACCCAAAAGAACATAAAAAAAAAAAAAANGGTCTGCAAACTTTTAAGGTCAAAGAAAAGAACCTTTTAAAACAAATTACTTACAAAACAAAGTCTCACAATTCTTGTGTGTGCGCACTGGCTTATTTTAAACAATGTAACAATATTTTGAAAAATGAAACTGGTTTACATTCGAACTCTATGCCCCTGACGTTAGTAATGACATGTTTGGTAAGGGAGGAAAATAATCAAGTGTTGTAACAAAACATGCAATTTTAGGAGTGATGCTTCCACTTTTGAGCACCTGTTTGAGCCACATTAAAATTTTCATTTTCATTATTCTACTCATTTTCAACCACACATTTTTCAATAAAATAATATTTTTCATCACATCAATATTTTTTCCTTCTTTTTCAACCACATATTCTCTATCACATCAACAGTAAAAAGGCATTCATTTTTCAAAAATGTGCACCATAATCTGGCTCATTGTGGCCTTGAATAGTACATTCTAAAAAAATTGATTGGGCTAGGACCAGACTGACCAATATTGCAAGTTGGGTCGGTCCAATCTATCTTTTTTATTCATTACCAACACAATCCGTTCATTATGGCATATCAATCCTTATATTGACCTTGTTCGATTCAATTTTTCAGCAATGTAGATCATTTCGGACACGAGCAGCACAACCCATTTCGACACAACTTACTCCTAGCATAGATTCGTCTCTATTATTCAATAAAACGAAGTGGTACTATTGGTTTGAGTGGCCATCCAAGTTTTACTATTAACACTTTTTTGTATACTTACACTTATATAACTCCTCAAACCTCTAGTTCTTGAGTCATGTACAAAGTCTGATTTTTCTTTTTCTATTCGACTAATTTGTACTTACTCAAGTATTGATGAACAATCATGAAAATGTCTAGATAAACAGGTAAATTCTAAAACTCGATCGATATTAATCAAGGTGAGTAATTTACTTCAAAAATTTTGCTTCCTTTTAATCTTCATAATAAAATTTGTTGCTCTCTATAGCTTATTGATTGAGAGCATGAAATTTGTATGGGAAGAAAATAAATTCTAGCAATTCAATTGCTTACAACTTATTTGCATAGAAATTATTAATTAAATGTATTTGATTGATTTAGTTTTCAACCTAAAAAATATTATACTTATCCATTTTTTATTGGTGAATAGATGAACGAGATAAATAGAGTGTGAATTACCTTAAAAATAAAAACTACCACTCTCCAAAAAAAAATGATTTCCTTGTTTTTGAGGAAAATATGGTCATGTGATCAAAAGTTGAAAAATATTTTTTATAAAAAAAATTGTCAATCAAATATCCCGAAAATAGAAAATAAAGCCAATCGAACACATCCTTGAAGAATTTATATGTACTTGGAATTATTCCATAGGAAAACGAAGTTTCGTTATTTTATTTATTAAATATTAAATTTGTGGTAGTAAATTGAAATTGCTAAATCCAGCACATATTACTTGGTCCTTTCTCTTATCGGGCCTCCATTAATGTTTGGGTCGTACTAAGGGAAAAATGCATGGATCAGGTATTAATTTTGACATTTGCAAAAAGCAAGTGCTAAAGTTTTAAAATTGTAAAAATCGGGTTTTTACTTTTTATTAATTAATTAAATACTTAATTGTGCAATTTGGTCACAGATAGCTTATTAATTAGTTAAAAATTAATTTCATGTCACAGCTTATCAAATTAATTAGTCACGGATTATTTCGAAGTCACAAATCAAAAAATTTATAGGTCACAATTGACGTTGTTGGTTACAAATCAAGAATTTTATGGTCACAATTTATTTCTCAACCACGAATTAAAATTTTTTATACATCACAGATTGAAAAAAATCAAAACTTTTACTAGTCACAACTCTATTACAGTGAGTCACAGTCACAATTTATAAGTCACAGACACCCACCCCAACTCATCTCATCCCACCCACTACCACCCCCACAGCCACATCCATTTGCGCACAAGGTTGTTGTTTTAGCAGCAGTGGTGGAACTATAACACCAAGCACCAGCACACGACTATCCATCACCTTCAAAGGCACCGTCCAAACCCTAATCCTAATTCCTTATTTGTTCATTTGATTCAATTCAGTCGGGAAAAGAAGAGAACTGGAAAGAGGGATTCGTTAATTTATTCATCTGTATCAGATTTGAATAATGTCTGCAATAGTGTGCGGGAAGAGATCTTTCTTAGAAGAGATAGTAACAACGTCATCGCCGGTGTCGGGGTCACTGCCGGTTTCCAAGAAACGTTGCTGCTCATCCGCCACCTCTCCGGTTCGGTTCTCCTACTCGCCGCCGAGGAGTCTTATTGATCAACTCAAGGCTTTGTTTCCTGATATGGATAGTGAGCTTCTTGAGAAAGTTTTGGAAGAATCTGGCAATAATTTAGATGCTGCTATCAAGAGCTTGCTGGGGCTTCGTGTTGGATATGCAGAAGGTGCAGAGGACAACTCGAGTTTGGAGGAGGAGGGAGGTGGAGGAGGAGATGGGGGAGAAGGGGAGGCGACGGGAATGGTGGAGACGGAATTGATAAATTAGGTTAAGAATTAGGGTTTTAATATACTACCTGATTTTTGCAAAAATAAACTTAAAACCTGATTTTTAAAAAAGTAGACCTAATTTTTAAAAACGTCAAACTAAACTCCTGATTTTATGTAATTTCCTCTTGTTCTAATTTCCACTTAGGCCCCCGTTTATTAGCACACATTTTTCATGGAAAATTAAATTTTTTTTCCATTTTTCAACTTTTGTAGTGTTTGATAGGCAAAATTTTTTTGGGAAAATATTTTCCACTTTTCAAAAATTCCACCTTTTTGAAGAAAATAAATTCTCGATATTTTGGTGGGTAAATATTTTCTATTTTTTTTTTTTCAATTGGAAAAAATTCTAGATACAATGATAAAAAAAAAAATTTCACTTTNAATTGGAAAAAATTCTAGATACAATGATAAAAAAAAAATTCACTTTTATTGACAATTTTCATACAAAACAAAGCCAAACGAATGGTATTCGGTATGAAATTTTTTTTTTAATTTTTTTTTATTTTGCAATTGGAACAAATTCTAGATCTAATGGTAGAAAATATTATCATTTTAATGAACAATTTTCATAAAAAAGAAATCAAACGGACACCAAATTTTCAACATTTTTCATAAAAAATTATACCAATAAAAAACAATTAATTGCAATTTTCAGTAAAATAATTTTTAGGCAAATCAATTACTTGTAAAACATTTTCATCCATTTTTCACCTTTGCAATTAAACAGACATTCGGACAAATTGACAAAAATATCACCGGTTAAATATATTTATGATTATTGACACTCTTTTACAGGTTTTTCATTAAGAAATCACTCCTTTCCTGTAAATTTTAAGCGTAAATTTCCTATTATCCAATCGCTTAGGATATCTAGATACAATGATAAAAAAAAAATTCACTTTTATTGACAATTTTCATACAAAACAAAGCCAAACGAATGGTATTCGGTATGAAATTTTTTTTTCAATTTTTTTTATTTTACAATTGGAACAAATTCTAGATCCAATGGTATAAAATATTATCATTTTAATGGACAATCCAAACGGACAACAAATTTTCAACATTTTTCATAAAAAAATATACCAATAAAAAACAATTAATTGTAATTTTCAGTAAAATAATTTTTAGGCAAATCAATTACTTGTAAAACATTTTCATCAATTTTCCACCTTTGCAATTAAACAGACTTTCGGACAAATTGACAAAAATATCACCGGTTAAATATATTTATGATTATTGACACTCTTTTACAGGTTTTTCATTAAGAAATCACTCCTTTCCTGTAAATTTTAAGCGTAAATTTCCTATTATCCAATCGCTTAGGATGAGAAACATGGCGGCGCCAGAACAAACGAGCAAAAAACATTTTTGGGTCTGAACCTTAAACCTCTCAAATAGTAAGCTCTCTTTTAGTTAATAATCTATCTGTATATTTTTTTCTCTTAAATATATAGTTAGTATTGCGAACCGCTGAGCTTCTATATTTTTTGGAGATTAAATTGGTTTAAGATGGAATTAATGATGACTGCAAGGCAATCCCATGAAAGTTTTTGCTCATTTCATCATCCTATTCGTGAGCAGAGCTCGATTAAGCATAGAATTAAAATTTGTTGTACAAACTTCGTTTCGGAGAAAACGAAAATTGACGGGTCTAGGAAAAGACGGCGAAATCGGGTGTTAGCTGTTTCGAAGACTGAAACTTATGGTACAAATGGTAAGTTAAGGTTGTCGAATATGGAGAAAAATCCACAAGGTCAAGGAAATTCGAATCACAATTTCGAGGAATTTGAGAGTAATAATTATCTTCGTCGGCTGGTAAGGAATGGGGAGTTGGAGGAAGGGTTTAGGCATCTCGAGAACATGGTTTACCGGGGTGACATTCCCGATATTATCCCGTGCACGAGTTTAATTCGTGGGTTTTGCCGGATTGGAAAGACTAAGAGGGCTACTAGGATCATGGAGATTCTTGAAGAATCTGGGGCTGTTCCCGATGTTATAACTTATAATGTGTTGATTAGTGGGTACTGTAAGTCGGGGGAGATTGATAGTGCGTTGAGAGTCTTGGACCGAATGAGTGTTGCCCCGGATGTGGTCACATACAATACAATTTTGCGCACTTTATGTGATAGTGGGAAGTTGAAACAAGCTATGAAGGTTCTTGATCGGCAGCTGCAAAAGGACTGCATTCCCGATGTGATAACCTACACGATTTTGATTGAAGCCACGTGTAAGGAAAGTGGAGTGGGACAAGCAATGAAGCTCTTGGATGAAATGAGGATTAAAGGTTGTAAGCCTGATGTGGTTACTTATAATGTTCTTATCAATGGGATTTGTAAGGAAGGCAGATTGGATGATGCGATTAAGTTCTTGAATAATATGCCTTCTTACGGTTGCCAACCTAATGTCATCACGCATAACATCATTTTGCGCAGTATGTGTAGCACGGGGAGGTGGATGGATGCTGAGAAACTACTGTCGGAGATGCTTAGAAAAGGGTGTTCGCCGAGTGTTGTCACCTTTAACATCTTGATTAATTTCTTGTGTAGGAAAGGACTACTGGGTCGAGCAATTGATATTTTGGAGAAGATGCCTAAACATGGGTGTACACCAAATTCCTTGAGTTACAATCCGTTGCTTCATGGGTTCTGCAAGGAAAAGAAGATGGATAGGGCGATTGAGTATCTTGAGGTAATGGTATCCCGGGGGTGTTACCCTGATATTGTGACCTACAATACATTGCTTACAGGTTTATGTAAAGAAGGGAAGGTTGATATTGCAGTCGAGATTCTAGATCAGCTAAATAGCAAAGGCTGTTCTCCTGTTTTGATTACCTACAATACAGTGATTGATGGGCTGTCGAAGATGGGAAGAACTGAACGTGCTATACAGCTATTGGACGAAATGCGGGAGAAAGGGCTCCGACCTGATATCATCACCTACTCATCACTCGTGAGAGGACTCAGTAGAGAAGGAAAGATTGATGAAGCTGTCAAATTCTTTCATGATATCGAACAACGTGGGGTCATGCCCAATGCTATCACATATAATTCCATCATGTTGGGGCTTTGCAAGGCTCGTCAAACATATCGTGCCATTGATTTCTTGGCTTATATGGTATCAAAGGGATGCAAACCTACTGAATCTACATACACAATTCTGATAGAAGGCATTGCTTATGAAGGATTGGCAAAGGAGGCTTTGGAGTTATTGAACGAGTTGTGCACTAGAGGAGTGGTGAAGAAAAGTTCAGTCGAACAGGTAGCCGTCAAAATATAGCTTGAATGCTTACTGTTGCTTGCAATACAACTTTCTGGCATTGAAGTGAGCTCTTCGGTTTAATTTGTTGTAATGTGAATTGAATTGTGTCTGAAGAGTCGAGGCTTTTTGCTTTCGCTTACGAGCCTTTTGTTGCTTTTCTAACGAAGGGATGTCCGAAGCAGTTTTGCTTTTTGCTGTATGCATTGTCAGATTTTCTTGTTAGCTTGGGTTATCTCTTGAATTTCTTGGCTTTTATAGTTATTTTTTTCAAGGTGAGATTAGAGATGGTGCTATTATTGTTTTGTGAAGAAGTATTGTTAAGTATTTTATTTTGTTTTTCTTAGGTGGTTGGATCTAAACGTGTTTGAGACATGCACGAGTGTTAAGTACATAATGTAATGTCTATACGATGGACAAAGAGAAAACAAGAACGTTTTAAAATTTAAAATGAATGTATGCAATATACTATAATAGATACAAATAGAAGTGGTCCTAATCGTCATTGAGAGTAACTTTCATCGGTGAACGTGAACTTTCAAAGAAATTGTAATTGGATAGCTAAACATTAATATCTTAATTCGATCACTAGACTTCAATTTAGTTTTAGATTTTACCATTGTATCACATTTTGTCAATATCAATCTTCAAACTGTCAAAAAATATATGGTTAACAATTTATATCATGGTTGCTCTTCCGCATAATCTCTTCGTAGCACCCTTATGACAACATCTTTAGATTAAAAATTGAAAAATTATGTATTTTAATTTTCATACTGCACAACAATGCATGTCACGCAACTATTGTATGAAAGACTCGTAATAAATTATGATAGTGATGAACTTTGAAACTACGCTCATGTTTGACCTTATTTTTTAAAATTCATTTTTTTTATCAAATTCATTTTCAGTTATAATTTTTATCATTTTTTAATAATATATTTCATCAATTTTCATCAAAATGTCCTGTAATATTTGATTTTTCGCGGTTGGTAATAAGACAGTTGGATTGGTAAGGCAGTTGGCAGACATCTGTCATCGAACCTCACATGATCCGACAATACCAACAGATCCAAACAAAGTACATTAAACAAAATCGATTTATAATCTTGGATTGAATTAGGGTTTCTAAATTCTTACAAAACAGACAAATTATTAATGGAATGAATCTCTGTCTGTAAAGAGTTGAAAGATGACACTTGGGAATACTCAAACTCAAGCCTATGGTGAGCCATCGTATTGGGACAACCGCTACACAGAGGATCCTGGTCCCTTTGATTGGTACCAAAACTACCCTTCTCTTTCACCTCTCCTCCGCCTCTACATCCACCACCACCACCGCGTCCTCGTTGTCGGATGTGGGAATTCCGGTATTTCACTCTTTTTACTTTGATTATGTACCTTCGTTTGTAGATGATTTCAATTCTTTCATTGATTTTGCAGCGTTTAGTGAGGAAATGGTTGATGATGGATATGAGGATGTTGTAAACATTGATATATCCTCTGTCGTGATCGAGGCTATGCAGAAGAAGTATTCCAATCGCCCCCACCTCAAATGTATGTATCTTCTATTCATTTGAACCAATCCACACTTTATGATCTTTGATGATTGTAGCTCCTTAATAGGGGGATAACATTGTTGATCTTCACATATCATACAAAACCAAGAAACGGGATACATTTAGATCGTTATATTTGAGAATCTAAGGGCACGTTCGGTAGGGCTTGTGCTTTTGCTTACTCTTCTAACTCGACAAAGCGCTTCCAAAAAATTTATTCAAACATGTTCAAAAACAGCTTCTTAATCTCAGAAACAGTTTTTGGCTTTTAAAAGCCTTGCCAAACGGATGTTAAATCTACTTTTGTAAGTGAGAACTGATAGGACGGTATATTGTCTAGAAAAATAGGCTAATGTATTGTGTGGACGTAACGAGTACTCAAGCACCTTATATTTGAGTAGATTATAACAATATTAGAGATGATTAAATCATTTCTCGTTAACTTGTTCGAGTGTTTTATTGTTGTTATTATTCAAGTTCTAGTTCTTGCTTCTTAGAGTGAAGAGAGGATTTATTGGCCTAGATTTCAAGAATATGAATATTTCTAGTGGTATAAGGGAATTATGCCAAGATTTAAAGATATTGTTGTTATCGTTGAAGTTCTATTTTTACAAAGTTTGCTTGTTTTGAATTTTATGAAATCTTTTCCGATGGTACATTTCTTGAGAAATTTGATATACCGACGATGGAAGAAGTCTGTAATTTCCTTGTCGAGGAAGTACGCTATTTTTATCAACTCAATTAGACCCAAAGACATACAGAAGGAAAGAAAGAAAACAGCAGGATCATATACAGAAACGACATTGAACCCGTTTATGGCTAACTGATGTTTCCGAATGTGTGATCAGATATCAAAATGGATGTCCGAGACATGAGTACATTTGAAACGGGATCCTTTGATGCTGTCATTGACAAAGGTATCCCTTTTAAGAATTGTATATATCAACGATGAAATCATTTATTTGCAGTTTCTGATGCCTTCTCGACATGGTCTTCCAGGAACTCTGGACTCTCTTTTGGTGAGTACTCTATGTTGCAATAGATTTATGAACAAACCTGATTACAAAATTGAGTATATTCCTGCAGTGTGGATACAACTCTAAGCAAAATGCTACTAAAATGCTTGAAGAGGTCTGCAGGTAAACCGAACCTACTGAAGACTTTGCGCATTTTCTAGTTTGCTTGCTTTTTTATTTCCACTGTTTATAAATTAAGAAGTTCATGACAAACTGTAGGGTTCTCAAGGATAAAGGAGTATATATGCTGGTAATTCCTCTTTATTCTCATCGCTGTCAGAACCGATTCCTTCGTTTCTCTATTAAAGTCGTTTTGAACTAAAAGAAGGGATAAAGTGAACCTGATAAATGGCTACTGAAATTATAATAATATTCTGCAGATTACATACGGATCACCGGTTTATCGACTACACTTGCTGAGAGATTCATGCTCGTGGACAATTAAATTGCATGTGATAGGTTAGCTAAAACTTTTTCTATCCATAACCATACACTCTCCTGAAGTAATATGGTGCATTAAATCTGGCATCTTGACATGCTTTAAGCTTCTTTTTCACGGCGTAGTTGAGGATTAGCAAGTTTTTTTTTTTGATGTGGTTGTGTCAATACATGCAGAAAAACTTCCATTGGCAGATAGCTCAGAACGTCAGACATGGGACCTGACTTCTCCTATTTTATTTGACGATGGAGGATCCTTGGAAACTGTTATAGGGAAGAATGCCGACTTACACTACATATATGTCTGTACTAAGGTCTGTAATATATGTTATATTCAACTTCGTTAAGGCACTCGTGGTTGATTACAAGCTACTTGATTGTAATCTTACTGCTTATTTATTTTTAGGATAACTCTGGGAGGTAAGCTTGAAGCACAAGTCTGCAATTGATAGAGAAACGAGCATCTTCAATCGTTTTTCACAGGGATTTATTACTGCCCATGGTTGAGTTATTGATCATTACATTAATATTCACAAATAAAGGTTAGGTGTTTGTGAGTTGAATTGGCGAAATCTTCATTGTGGCTATGGTCGACCCCGTTCGCTAAATTCATTCTAACTTGGATACTCGACATGCACACATCAGCATAATTGTGTTTTGTTTTGTATCTAATGCACCTACTTTTCCCATGCTTTCTAAGCTGATGTTATCTATTTCTAATATGACCAAACTTTTAATTTCAGAATGAGGTAGGATGTAATGTGAGGTTAACGAAGTGACGACATTAGAACATGTGGGTTTACTAGCTTTCATGATTTGGTGCTCATAATGAAAACAAGGTGGGTCCGATGTTTGATGGAATTTCACTGAAATAAATTAGAATTTTGAAATAGTTCAATAAATCTTGAAATATTTAGGTTGCATGAAATGGAAAGGGAAAAAGAATTGTAACAAATTAATATATACAAGGTATCCAGCATGTATGAAACATGAAAAATTGAAAAGCTTTTTCCAGGTGGGCTTTCAATTTTACTCACCACACTATTCAATTGTAATTACATATCATATACACACATTCAATGGAGTTGAGTAGAAAAATGTGATCATTCTTCAAATTTAGATCGTAAGATTAAGAGCCATAGAATCACAAACGGATCTGCCAGAAATAGGCAATGACACTCACCTAAACTTTGTTCCATTGCCATGCATATCCAAATTGTCATGTGGATGGGTTCTATCAGATCTGCGGTATTGAGCAAGTTGATTATTGATTCTTGAAAGCACTTTTTGTGAATGCGCCAATCTCTCACCAAGATCCAAGTCGTGAGATATGGACGAACTATTTGTTTGTGGTTGATTACATGGCTGGGCATGATGCATTTTAAATAGTTTTTTCACCATATCATCTAGCTCAGTAACACTTTTTTGTAAATTGGTTTTATCCCTCTGCAGAAAGCATGATAGAAAGGTAAATTGATTTTGTAAATTGAAGAATATGTTTACAATTATGAGATAGATTGTTTTAGGTATACCTTCAGCATATTATTTTGTGCAGTCAACAACTGATCCCTTTCCTGTAATTGTTCTACAGTTATCTGAGTTGTGAGTAGGTCTGTTTTGCTTCTATTTACTTCAGAAATGCATCTGCAGAAAAGAAGTTTGAGACCCCACCTCAAGAATTTGTTGAAGTACAGATTTATTACAAAACTCCACGATTATATCAGGAATAGTGGATCCAAACAATCAGTCGGAATACACAAGTGAAGTATAACATTTTCAGTTTTTGAACTAAGCATTTGAAGTTCAGTATCAAATGATATGGAGTTCAACGCGACTTACCTCTCTCTTTCCTCGAGCAAATCGTTAATTTGACCCCTCAGATTGCAAATTTCATGCTCCTGGCGTCAAAAAAATATATATTAGGCATAAAGAGCAACTAGTCAAGTAATGACCAACAGTCAACAAAATGTACCATTGTAATAAACTCTCGTCTTTGTTGTAGAGCCTCCTCAACTAGCTTTTGAAGCTGATTCTGGTCGATCATATTCTAGACAAACCAACAGCTTCATGATTTTAGTAAGAAAAGCACATGTGGATAAATATTTTGTGCACGTAAAGTTTGAACTTACAGCATAATTTGTGATGTCCAATTTGACACTCAGTAGATCCCTAATGACATCGTGTGTCATGCTTTCTGCGGTGGCCAGTTTAGTGTTCAGCATACACACCTGAGGCAATATGGATAAAAACCATAGTGTTATGTCGACAGTTTTCAGAATTAGGAAGTCTGCATGGATTATTCAATTGCACATAGGGAGACAGAGACAGGCAGGACGATTGTATGAAAGAATATCAGAAACGATAAAACAAGAACAAAAAAAATTAATTGAAAGGACAAACATTCACAATGACAATAAAATAAATGACAACGAGATTGAGGGAAGTAATTTATACTTTATCATAATTTGGAATTTTGAATTGATAAGTGACCCATATAAAGATCAAGGAGGATATGAATATAGTCATCTGAAAATACGAGTATACACGACCACCATTAGGCTAGCAAACGTAAGTGGATAAAGCAATGCTTAAATACCTCTTTGTGCCTACTAGCTGCCAACGCCTCTAGCTCTTTTGTACGAAGCCTCGCAGCCAACATTTCTTGATCTTTCTCCGCATTCATCTGCTGAACTAGACTAGCAATGCATCTGAATGGAGAACTAGAACGCCTTGTCCTTGTTGAACTTTTATCTTCTTTATATGAGGCTGCTGCCTCAGATGTCACACTTGATACATCTGTTTTAACTTCGCGAACCATTGTTTCCAGGTTTTTGTACTGGTTACAGGACATCAGACATATATGATCTCAATAAAAAGGAATTCTAATCAAACAAGCATTGGCAGCAAACCAAATAAACACATTTGTTTACTTGGCATCCAACTTTCTCAAGTTGTACAGAGACTGAAGTTCATAAAAACCAAACTCCCGGTTTTTTTTTCCTTCTCTTTTCTTTTGCTTATGGGTAAAGTTCTGAGTCCGTGTTGAACATCAATGATTGGAAATTTTTAATACAATGTTTCTGAGCTTTCACTTTATCTAAATTCACAAATTGCCTCTATAGCACAGACACTTCAATTATGATAGCGTGTTCGTGTCGGACACGAGTCAATACCGACACTTCTCGGACACTCTACAGTAATCATTTTTCTTTTTACATTAGAATTATTATATATTGTTAATTCAAAATTATTAACAAGTAACAAATATGTACTCATAATTAAAAGATTTCAACAAGAAAAATTAATAACAAGTATAAAATCAAATTTATACTATCAGCCTGTCTGGCGCTACTTTTTCAAGCCAAAAAATTGATTTTGTAGCCGTTGCACGTCCTTTTTTGCCGTAATGTTTGACCATTATACTCACATGTGGGACCCAACTTACTATCTAACGGTACAAAAATTGCTTTGCAAAGCAATACCAGACAGGCTTTATATTTTTTTATTTGATAACCATGGATACCTCGACTAATCCCACGAGATTCTGAAATTTACGGCC